TCAAGAACCGGGGATTCTTAAATACTCAAGATCTCCTGTACTGTAACATCTTACATCTTTTACCCACAAAACGGTTAAATCTACCTATTTTTCTTCAAGGCTAGAGACGTATTGAGGAAAACATACATCCCTATAACACCACAGTGTAGGTGTACCAGCCTAGGTTGTGTTGTAGGACCTCTCCATACCAAGCTACACTATGTACCAGATGTATATTTCTATATGTTTACTAATGCTATAAAATACCTGCATGGACAGATAATATCAGAGTGGTGGACTGGCCTCGTGTGTAATATTAATGAACATGACTATTTTTACACAAATGCTTCAAATCCATATTCCGTTTATCTCTTATCTTGTGTTGCGATAATTATCTCCATCAACCTGATAATGAAAGCGTCTGATAATGAGGTCAGTTCGTGCTGCCTCTCAGAGTACGTTTTGATCTATCGCAGGGGAACATCCAAATGTGGACTCCCTTTTATTAAAGACACACGTGGGAAAGACGTTATATTGATTACATGGAGTCTGCGGGTCTGTAACCTACTGTGAGGAACGTGCTCTCGGGACAATGCAACCAAACACTCCTTTGTTTGAGATCTTCAGGTGCGGTATGACAAGATCCTTGGGCAGCCATGCTGTATTTTCTGCCATTTTATTTAAATATGTAGAGAGACTATACAAATCCAGAACCTGAAGACTCGCTGTGTTTCAAATGTACGTTAGAAGTATGATAGCTACTAGTATATGATTTCCGTCTCTGCATACTCGTGTCTAAAATGAATTCAGTTAAACACCGCTTTGAACAGTGAGTGAATATGGTTTAACGCCGCTTTTAGCACTATTTCAGCAATATCACGGGGGCGCACCAGAAGAGGGCTTCACACATCGCCTTGAACAGTGTTCCTGTCCTATCACGACGTCTAAGCTTACCATGTGTGGAAAGCCTGAAGTTATACAGTCTTAGAAGTTTCCCATTTTGGTAAAAGCCACGAGCACAGGTAGTGTGCTCACAAAACCAAGAAACATTACAGGTGCGAATCGGGATTCAAACAAAAGATCATAGGTTTGACGAGCCAAAGGGAGGCAACTCTGCACGGCGAATTACGGCCCGTTATACATCTCGGCCTCGTTTCACCAAGCTTTCGTAGCGCTACGACTGTTGTAAGTCTATGTTACAGTACAGGAGGTACGACGGTCGTAGCGCCACGATAGCTTGGTGAAACGGGGCACTACTGTCAAACAAAGACAAACCACAGATATTGACCAACCTCCCAAGTCGGGCTATGAAGACACACCATCTTGAAATCTTGAAATCACGATCTGTTTCTTCGCTTTGTGGGACAAGGTCATGGAATTACCTAGGGAATGTACAAATGTACATGTTCTTTAATATAATTATATACTGTGAAATGTACATCATGTTCAATGTATTAATGGCTGATATTTGTATATGTTCTTGAGTGTATTTGTGGCAGATTATATGTACACTTTCTTCAAATTTTAAACATGAAATATGCCAGATCACAAAAGGCATCAATGTACTTTTTGTTCTGTTACATACAAATGAGATATGCCAATACGATGGGCTATCAAACCGTTTTGAGCCTAAAACACTTCTGATGTGTGGATGATAAAAGTAACTGTATGATATTGAAGAATGGTTTATATCATTCTCATAAACGTAATATTGACACGCACATGTCGCTAGTTTCCGGTCACGTGAGATCTAATCACATGTACCATCATTGAAACGGCAGAAATGGATAAGCTTGAGTACAGAGCAGTCACATTTTTGGTCCTCGAGGGCCACCAGCGAAACACAGTGAAGAGCGATTGACAGCAGTACGAGTACCCAATGGTATCAGTTCGATATATTTTGACTGCAATCGTCATTAAGACAATTCCTATGTTTGAATCCCGTCAATCATGTCGTGGTTGTTGTGTATTGTGCGCAAACGCATCGCAAAATGTGTGTTGCAACGTTTGTCATTAAAAATGAAAACGATACATGCAGCAGAAAAGGTTTTCCACGTAATGCACGTGCAATGTGTCGGACACATGAGTAGAGACATCGACTATAAAAGGCCAAAACAAATTCATCATTTCATTACGAAATTTATGACGTAAACGAAGATCAAAAATGCCAAGATTACGAAATATCGCCACTGGACGTTTGGAAGCAGGGGAGTCCCAGTCTGCCGTTGCAAGACACTTCAACGTCCACCACAGCACCATATCTCGATTATAACATCGATATACCCGCTTCAATTCGACCCAAGATCGTCCCAAAAGGAGAAGACCAAGAGTGACCACTCCTGCTCAGGACCGATTCATCCGGGTGTTTCACCTACGTCACCGATTTGCTACAGCAACGGATACAGCAGGACAGGTGCCTGGTCTTCGAACGATTTTCGACAAAACCATCAGAAATCGTCTGAGAGAAGTGGAAATTCGAGCATATCGACCAAAAGTTGGGCCTGTCCTGACGCGACTACACCGACAACGATGTGAGACAACGTGTCTATAGACGTCAACACGAACGTTTTGCGCCAAACTGCGTTCGACAGGTGGACAGATTTGGTGGAAATAGTGACATGGTGTGGGGAGCCACGTCCTACACGGGTAGATCAGAGCTAGTGGTGGTTCAAGGCAATGTTAAAACAAATGGCTACATCGACCAAACCCTGCGACCTCAACTCCTTCCCACGTTTTAACCGCCAAAGAGAGCGGTTACAACAAGACAACGCTCGATCCCACACAGCTCGTGTAGCAGGTGCCTGTCTCGCCAATTCAAACGTCAATGTCCTTCCTTGGCCTTCCAAATCGCTTCATCTGAACCCGATCGAGCAGCTGTTGGACGAACTTGATCGACGCGTCCGTAAACGTCACATCGTCCTCAGACACTTGCAGAACTTGCCAACGCGTTGCAGGAGGAATTCCCCAAGCACAAATCCGACGACTTGTGCGATCCCTTCCAAAGTGGTATCGAGCAGTGACGCCTGCAAGGGGTGGTGTTACCAGGTACTGACCTGAACGCCCCCTTGTGTCCAAACATGTGCAGTGAGTGAATTAAATTAATGCTAACAATGACAACAATATATGTGTTCATTCGTGTGTCGAATTTCCTTCATCTTATGTTCAAGCTTAATCGACTTATGTACACATAAATACATTTAATACTTTTCCTTAGTTTTGGCCTATGTACTCCAAGTGATCTAAATTTTAAAATTTGATACAATAGGTAACAGAATTAGTGAAAAACACGTATTTTTAAAAAAACCCATTTCACCTGCCCGCTGTCTAGTCGGTTGATGATGGAGATGAATAACACATAAAACAAAAAGTGACGACCTAAATACAATACGTGATTTTAATGACCCTTGAGGGGAGGATTGTTACAATCTACCTGAACGCGTCTGGTTTGAGCTCGTGACGTCCATGCTAATCCCCCTCAGGGGTCTCTGTCACACTACAAGAAATAAAGGATGGGCACATTTACAAGGCGCCATGCGCTACATTAATATTCCGGCCAGTGTGGATCAGTACGCACTCCCTGAGGAGTATATACAACAGGCGATGTCTGTGAGGCGCTAGAATGGTAACATTATGGTCCTTCCGGGTAAATCATTCAAACCTAAGTGAACAAAAGTTTATTTCGAACAAAGCCACTTGTCTAAAGACACAGAGCTTCATGTTGGATCAGTGCCAAAGTCCTACTTAATTTCACATATGCGATCAGCAAGCTTGTCTCCAAGTCATGAATATTTATTAAGTTTCATGCGTTATTCATATCATTATGCTCCGTATTCAAACCGGACATTAATGGGATTTCTGGTTATGGTTATCAACTAAGTGTACCGTAGAATATACTGAACATATGGTGACAGCGGCGAAGGCATTGTGTCTAATTGATGTCTACGTGTCATCTGTAATCTGATACGTGAGTGAGTGAGTTTAGTTTTACGCCGCACTCAGGAATATTCCAACAGCTATGCGGCGGTCTGTAAATAATCGAGTCTGGACCAGACAATCCAGTGACCAACAGTATGAGCATCAATCTACCCAATTGGGATACTCGGTTACTCGCCTATTATGAAAAGCATGGGTCGCTGAAGACCAATTCTAACCCGGATCTTTACGGGTTTATCCAGATAGTAAGTTAGATTCAGGTTTGGATAAGTTACCCTGCTATGGGTAATGGAAACATATTGATGCTATGAAAAAAGTGTGCACTAGCTCTAAATGGTGAGAAGGATGGTCAAAATGTTCAGATGTTTACACCCATTAAAAAGCTTTCGACTAATAATGGTTTGAACAAAAACAGTGCAACCACATGACTTTTCAGTAAGTGTTCATTATAAAACAAATAGAACTGATCGAGTCTGGACCAGACAATCCAGTGTTCAACAGCATGAGCATCGATTTACGCAACTTGGATACGATGACATGTGTCAAACAAGCCAGCGAGACTGACCATCAGATCCCGTTAGTCGTCTCTTACCACAAGCATGGGTTGCTGTGACTCGTGTCACACATACGAGAATTGGCACTATGTTTTCACTTCACAGAGCTTTGTCACTTCAAATATACTAATGATGAAACTAGACATTGTCACTTGATATTGTGTTTGCCCTATGTATTGTTGCTTACTGTTGGTATAATCCATTTTTCATAGAATAATGGAATATTATCTAAAGCGTGCAACATTCCACATCCTAACCCGACGCACCGATTTCAAACTTTTACATTTTACGAAATCCATCAAAATTTCGACAATAAATCCAACTAGAATACTGGACAAACACTATTTGAGGAAAGTGGTATCTTCTGAGAAAATTAACATAGCGCGCAGATTCGACTAGATCCTTGTTACGAATAAAAGAATTTTTAAACGTTTGATAAAATGTATTCGCAGTTTTGAACACACTCGGCTGAGCAAGTGACGAACTTAAAATGCTTTTCCCAATCCACGCCGGTTCCGACAGAGTAGTCTGCCCTTCATCGAAAATATTACCATTGAAACTAACTCAGAAATATGACCGAATTTAAGGCTTTTGAACCTGTTCTTCGGTCTGAACTTGAAGATGATACGATTTGTTATCTTCAAGATGTCAAGGGTGGCATTGTTAATCGTGCAGCTTTGTTTGTTTCAGAGAAGACAAGCGACAAATACTTCGTCAAATATCACGACGGCGAGCAGGACCTGGTAAAAAAATTTGGAATCACATTTCTGAAACGAAATACATTATTTGATTGTTTTTTTTAAAATAGGGTTGTTTTATTTGGTTTTTATGTGGCATACTTGGAATTTTTAAATTTATGCTAAAAAATAATTAGTCACTTGTATTTTATTAAGATTTCTTGTGTTCAGAATTGTCCATTTTATCGCAGTAATAAATAATAAATTTAGTTGTCATGTAATTCATACTTGACAGATAACATTGGATAATAATAACAACATTAAAATGTTGATAAAGGGGACATCAATGAGGATTACGAACAATGCTGTTAATTGCTTTTACAGGCAGAAACCATGTTTTCCACAGAAAAGTACAGTCTGGATTTGTTGGAACGAACCAAAATTGTCCATGTACCAAAATCTATCAAGGTAAACAACATATGGAATATTTTTGCCATTGTTCTGTAGCTAGTAAGGGAAGTGTTAAGAGCTTGGGTGATCGGGTAGTTCGGTTGTGTTCAAGTGGGTAACTTATAAGGTGGCTGAGTAGTTATGGAAGTGGGTGGTGATGGTGGGTGATGAGGTTGTTACCAGTAGGTGGGAAAGAGAGCAAGTTTATATCTAAATGGATGGATAACTGAGGAGAGTAGCTAATTGGTGGTTGTAGAACCACAGTTGCTTGTAACGTTTAAAACTGGCATCAACTGGTATATCGTCACTGACAGGGTCTTAACAATATAGTGTTTATAACCCTGTCAGTGACAGCATATACCTTGATGCCAGTTTTAAGCGTTCCAAGCCTCTGTGGGTAGAACAATATGGACGTAAGTCAGTGACTAGGATAAAGTGGCTCTACTTTCAAAAGCATTTCAGGCATATCACTGAAAATATGGAAAACAGAAGTTCTCAGTGAATATGTTTTTCTTGAGAATAAGAGATCCGAAAAATTGAGGCTGTCCTATATATCAATTTTTTTGCATGTACAGAAGTGCTCTTTGTTCAGATTTTTGGCCTCCAAAATCACAGATTTAGAGGTGGAATCCATGTTCTGGAATATATCGAGGATCTTCAGCCAATGACAGACTACTGGCCACAGCTTGGAGAACAGGTGGCCAGGTAAGTCAGCTCATATCCTAAGGGACCATTCATAATTTATGGTAAGGGGTGTGCGGGGGTTGTGAGTGCGGGAGGGGGTGATGTCATTGATTTTGTACATGACATGCAGGGGGAGTCACTAACTTAATTTGTACATAGAGGGGGTTTGGTCATTCACATCATTCAAAGCACCATATCTTCATGCCTTGGACCCCAGTCTTCTGGATTGGGAAATAGATAGGCCAAGATCAGTCTTTAAGGTACCAATTCACAGTTAGATGAACCATGGCACATTTGAAAAAGTCACTTGTAAAGGAGATGTTCAAATGTTTGATATTAAACTCCTAATATTTTAGGTTTGGGGAATGGTGGTGTTTAACAGGTCACAAAATTTGCAAATCAACAAATCCAACTTTTGAAAGTTATTACAGTGTGTGTGTGGGTGCTTGTACTGTCCCAGAGTAATGCCTGTATTATAGAGCTGGCTCTCTGAGATACCATGAACAGTTTAACATGGATACCCCACTCGGACATAATATACTGACTAACCTTGTTCTGTCCCCTTAATGCTGAGCTCCAGACAGGGTTTGATGGGGCAGAGGATTGAGCGACTGACTTCCACTCTCCAGGCAGATGCTCTATCCACTAAATCACACTTACGTTTTTGTAACATAGTACAGTGTTATTATGATCTCTGCATATTTCCTTTCTGAATATCCGTTTTCACAGTTACCATTTTTGTCAATTTGAACATATCCCTAAACTTACAGAATTAAAAAATTTTTCCGACATTGAACATTCGAGCTGCTCTCAAAGGAATTTTCTTACTTGTCCTAGATGCTGTGATGATACAACCACGGTACTATGCTGTATCAGTATTTAACTGTATCATGTTCCCCACAGTTTCCCATCAAGTAAACTGGATTTCTTTTACCAGACTACATTCATACAACTCCAACCTGCGCAAGAAGGCTTCACAAAGTGAACAGAGCATTCATAGGAGTGAACACCTTCTTGAACCCAGAGACAAGTTTGGCTCTGACGTACCACACTTCATAGGAACATTCCATCCCCGTGATGGCTGGCGAGACACATGGGAGGTACTGCAGAGTGCCAGAGGAGTTATATACACATGAGTATTAATTAATAACCACCTGAATTTTTTATTTTCATTTTTTTTTTTTTTTTTTATAGTAGACGCCTTGTCCGTCTGTAATCATTTTGTTTCTGGAGCAGAACTCGAAAACCGTTTAATATCTTTCAACAAAACTTGGCAGATATATCAAACGGAACCTAAAGTGGTGCCTTTTGCTGTTAACAAATTTTTGTCATTTTTCTATTTTTCTTGGTTTCCATGGAAACGTTTTGGACTTTCTAAAAAAATCAAGTTCAACTAGTAACTGTCAGATTATTTGCCCTTTCATATTTGTAGGGGGCCGGGGGGATTTGTCATCTTGTGATGACTCTTGTTAAAAAGTTTGGTTCAAACAGGTGATCATACCCCATCATACTTGAATGCACATAAAAAGCACATGCTTCACCTGATATCTCCAAAGATGCTGGTTGCCTTTTCCATTATGAAGGAACTAAGCACACTGGGGTAATTAATTCTTAACTGCAGTATGTGCACAGCAGATTTCTGAACAGATTTGAAAGTCGACAGAACTAGAAATGATGGAGGTGAAATTGGGTTTAATGTCGTGCTTGAGAATATTTCGCTCATATGACCTACGTGCATTGCGTGTGTATGTGTAAGTGCGGCTGCTTGTACTAGCCGAGACTGAAGCTGGTTTTATAGTGCTAGCCAACTGAGATACAATGCCGCAGTGAAGCATGAATACCCCACTCAGACACATTATACTGACTCCAAGCTGACCAGTCCTTGATGTACCCATTAATGCCAAGCGCCAGGCAGGGACCAACAAGTACCATATTTTAATGTCTTTTGGTATGACGCGGTCGGGGATTGAACCCGCGACCTTCCGCTCTCCGGGCGGATCGCTCTAACCACTACACCACGGAGGCGGTAGTTGAGTTGTGAGGAAATATGTGGTCATTGGTGAAGTAAAGGATCATCCAAGACCTGGAAGACCATGAAAAACCAGTGACCTACTAAATTTGACATACATTGATGTTAAGGAATTGTAACCTTACACTATGTATTTATATTTCTTCTAGGAATACTTCCTAGGAGATATTGTCAATCCTTTGTTTGAAGGTTTGGAACAGAAGGTGAGAAACACTGTTACCTTTGTCTGCATATACCATTACCCAGTCATGTTCATGTCTGAAAGGGGCAGTGGGGTAGCCTAGTGGTTGAAGCGTTTGCTCGTCACGCCGAAGACCCAGGTTCTAGTTGTTGAATGTGTGAAGCCCATTTCTGGTGTTCCCCGCTGTGATATTGCTGGAATATTGCTAAAAGCTCACTCATTCATTCATGTCTGAATGCTGTGATAGTTTAGTGTACATGCAAAGGATTTGGTGGAGGGTGTGGTCTACTGTATGCACTGTGCAAGCCAGAGGTTGGAGCCTTGTTTTGGAAATAGACCATGTGTGAGCCGGTATGAAAGGCGCTCTGTTGTGTTATCTCTCTCTGAAGAAACAATAGCCTTCATTATACTCTAACCATCATCATATAATATGTCAACAGGCTAAAGAGATCTTGAACATGGCACATAGGTCCTGACTCCGACCTGGAGTTGCATGGAGTGAGTGAGTTTGGTTTTACACCATTTCTAGCAATATTCCAGCAATATCATGGCAGGGGACACCAGAAATTGGCTCTACACATTGTACCCATGTGGTGAATCGATACCGGGTCTTCAGCATGACGAGCGAACGCTTTAACCACTAGGTTACCCCACCTGCCCTCACATTTGTTCAGAACTGTAGCTCTGTGTGATCTGTATCTCAAATACACCCATTGGTGGAGTGTGTAAAAATTTAGATATCACAAAATAAACCTTCACAAGAGAAAATAACCTTCCCATGATTCCTATCTTGTGTTGCCACTTACTGTGTCGGTGCCTCGATAATGCCATTCCAAGTCACAATATTGGATGAGTACTGCTTAATGAGTGTAACATCCTGGACTCTTCAGTGATACAGTGATGTCACATCAATATGTAAGTAATTACCAGCCCCACAAAACAGGCCAGTTGTATGGTTTTATTGGAATATGATTGTTAGTTTTGAGGACCCTCTGCTAAATAATTACCGGTATTGACATTAGATATTTTTCTTCCATAGACTTCTTTCAGCTGGCACTATGGAAGGTTTTAGCACCACATGAATAGGTGAAACGTCAATTTCATGAGACAAAAAACTCATAAGAAAGTTTTGGCTGCACTTTATCACCAAAAGTTTATTTATTGTTCATTAAACTATAGTCTGTTTGCAGTGAAAACGTACCGATGAATTTCACTTTATACAAGAAAGTAAATCGAATAAAGTGAAAATAAGATTGAGAATCCTCATAATTTTACCTTGCCAACTGAACATTTAAATATAAGAATTTTATTAAACTTAGGATAAAAGTTGTTTAACAAACGATCATAGATTCAAATTGTTATTATTGGTTTGTATTACAAGGGTGTATGCACATCAAATTAAACACCGAGAACAAGTAGGGTTGGTCTAAGTTAACGCTCATCACATACCACACGTGCATTTGTTTCAGTGTTCCAACTACTGCGCTTACCCCCTTGTAATACAAACCAATAATAGTGATTTGAATCTATGATCGTTTGTTAAACAACTTTTATCCTAAGATGAATTAAATTCTGAGATTCAAATGTTCAATTAGCAAGGTGAAATTATCAGGATTCGCAATCTTAATTTCACTTTATTTGATTTACTTTTTAGTTTAAAGTGAAATTCATCGGTACTTTTTCACTGCAAATAGACTATAGGTATACACCTTCTCTTGTCTGGCTCATTGAGTAAGCAGCCAATGCCATCAGGGAGGAATGTCATCCCAGTCATATTATTTGTAATTTTACAGTACATTGTTCAGGGAACCAATTCTGTCCCGAGTTGTGATGGGTGGTGAAGATATACCTGGTACTTGGATGGTTGACCATCTTGGTGACTGACTGACTGACTGAGTTTGGTTTTACGCCGCTTTTAGCAATATTCCAGCAACATCATGGCGGGGGACACGAGAAATGGGCTTCACACATTGTACCCATGTGGGGATTCGAACCCGGGTCTTCGGCCTGACGAGCCAACGCTTTAACCACTAGGCTACCCCACAGCCCCCATCTGGGTGAACAACATTGGATGTGACTTAGCTGAATGTTTACTTTAGGAATCACTATGTTGTTTGTACCAGACATTGTACCACATTATATCACAACCCAGTCGGAATGGGTCCCATCATATGCTGATTTGAATCAAATATTAGTTACATCAGTAGAATAGAGGGGACATGTGACTTTGGTGAAACCGGTGACCAAACTAAAAGGAACCATATCATTTTGAATCTGGTAATCTAATATTGCTGTCTGGGACTCATTTAACCTTGACTCTATTTATTTCCATAAATGCTAAAAATCTACTCTTCCAGCATGGAGACCGTGTTGTGAGTGAGAAATGGTCGGCCATCAAACAACATATCCACAAAGTGTTTCAGTCAGCAGATATCCAGCCAGAGATAAACCATGGCGACCTTTGTCCAGCTAACTTTGGTCAGACTGCAGACGGGGCTGGTGAGTACAAGGCTGTTTTGTCTTGTGCCAAATTTGGCGATAATCCTTGAAATAGATCAATTATGGGTTTAAATATACCTTATGAGATTTCCCTCTTGATATCAGTTTGATGTGCATCTGCAAGTTCAAGTGCTTAGTCAGAACTATTGTACATCATCAGCATGACCTAGGTTGAACAAACACTGCCATGGAGATGGTCACTGTATATCGTTGATATATCCCAGCTATATTTCAACATTTATACATCCCAGTGTGATACCAGATACTCATTGTACATCATCAGCATGACCTAGGTTGAAAACACACTGCCATGGAGATGGTCACTGTATATCGTTGATATATCCCAGCTATAGTTCAACATTTATACATCCCACCATGATACCAGATACTCATTGTACGTCATCAGCATGACCTAGGTTGAAAACACACTGCCATGGAGATGGTCACTGTATATCGTTGATATATCCCAGCTATAGTTCAACATTTATACATCCCAGCATGATACCAGATACTCATTGTACATCATCGGTATATCTGTGCCATTGTACATAATGGGTATATCCCTGGATGATCCAGGCATTGCAGTGTAGATACAGTGTTTAAAACTCCCAAAAATTCAAGCCAGACAGCCGGACTGGTAACTTTAAAACATTACAAGTCCTGATACAAACTTGCCTGTCCAGTTTTCAACATTGAAAAAAAAAAATCAGGTTTCTGAATACTTTACTGTTTGTAAGTATCGCAATGAACAACATAGCACTAACAGGCACCAAGTTTAGGTAAACTGAAAGTACATGTGTTGTGATTGGTTATTATGAAATGAACTGTCCAATCGTAAATAGTTTAACATAATTATCATAATACCTTAAACACCTCAAACTGATGACAAGAGAACCTGTCTGATATTAAGAAATAGTTACTGTTAATGGTAAAAACATCTACCAGACCACCAGACAGGCTACTTTTGAAATTTGACCATCCAAGATGAAAACAGACCGTTCCAGATGGTTGGGCAGGCAGGAATTTTAAATGCTGGTAGATACACATTGTATATAATGATGATCTGACATACTGCATAATCTTTATTAATTTTCAGTGGTCTTTGACCCATCGGTGAATTATGCTCACTCCGAGTTTGATCTGATTATTGCCAAGACAGAGGGAGGTTTCCATGATGATTTCTTCACAAGTTACTACAACATTCTACCCAAAGCTAAAGGCTTTGAGGACCGCGTGCTTGTATACGAGTTGTTCTACAATGTCGTTATGTGGTACCATGTCCCTGAGGGACAGGCCAGGGAAGCAACCATAAAATCACTGGACCAAGTGAAGGAATTGATAAAAAATATATCCAGTGCAAACTGATTCTTCAACTTATATGTATATAAAAATATAAAATTATATAATCAGAGTGTTTTGCCTATCTTATATAGAAAATCATAAATGTATTGTGTGATATATACTTCATATCAAACATGATCATTAATTCATTCATTTTCAAATGCAACGAAATCTATGCCTCAATTACATCATGTGTAATGAACAAGAGCTATGCAACAAGAAGACAAAGTCATCAATATCCCCCGCAATGGCAAAATACTCTTCATGATTATGTCTACGAGTTATGATTATGTCAAATATTTATGTGTGTATATAGAAAAGTGGAAGGAGAGTATTGAAAGGTTTTGAAAGTTCTGCTCCAGAAAGGAGCACTGTCACCAATTTCATTCTATGTCAAACTTGTTGCCATGGAAACGCCAAAAATATTTTATTCAGAATTCCAAAACTACCAAAAGGCACAAGTACACCACCAGATCCATGTATGTGCCAAGTTTGGTGAAGAAATATTGAACGGTTTTAGAGTTCTGCTCCGGAAAAGACAAATTTGCACGTACCACCAATTCCAGGCTAAGTGAAACTTGTTGCCATGGAAATGCCAAAAATATTTTATTCAGAATTCCAAAACAACCAAAAGGCACCACTACACCACCAGATCTATCTATGTGCCAAGTTTGGTGAAGAAATATTGAACAGTTTTAGAGTTCTGCTCCGGAAAAGAGCACAACCACCAATTTCAGTCTAAGTCGAACTTGTTGCCATGGAAACACCAAAAATATTTTATTCAGAATTCCAAAACTATCAAAAGGCACAAGTACACCACCAGATCTATCTATGTGCCAAGTTTGGTGAAGAAATAGTGAACAGTTTTAGAGTTCAGCTCCGGAAAAGAGCACAACCACAATTTCAGGCTAAGTGAAACTTGTTGCCATGGAAATGCCAAAAATATTTTATTCAGAATTCCAAAACTACCAAAAGGCACCACTACACCACCAGATCTATGTATGTGCCAAGTTTGGTGAAGAAATATTGAACAGTTTTAGAGTTCAGCTCCGGAAAAGAGCACTACCACCAATTTCAGTCTAAGTCGAACTTGTTGCCATGGAAACGCCAAAAATATTTTATTCAGAATTCCAAAACTATCAAAAGGCACAAGTACACCACCAGATCTATCTATGTGCCAAGTTTGGTGATGAAATAGTGAATGGTTTTAGAGTTCTGCTCCGGAAAAGAGCACTACCACCAATTTCAGTCAAAGTCGACCTTTTTGCCATGGAAACGCCAAAAATATTTAATTCAGAATTCCAAAACTACCAAAAGGCACCAGTACACCACCAGATCCAAGTATGTGCCAAGTTTGGTGAAGAAATATTGAACGGTTTTAGAGTTCTGCTCCGGAAAAGACAAATGTGCATGTGTTTCAGCAAAATATTCCAGCTACATGTATATGGCGGCAGTCTGTAAATAATCGGGTCTAGACCAGACAACCCAGTGATAAACAGCATGAGCATCGATCTACACAATCAAGATACAATATGTGTCAACCAAGTCAGCGAACCCAGACCACCCGATCCTCTTAGTCTCTTACGACAAGCATGGGTAACTGAAAATCAATTCTAACTCAGATCTTCAAGGGTGGTGATTATATAGAAAACATGGATGCATGTGTGTGTGTGTGTGTGTGTATGGCTATTTGTGTATGACATATGCCAGTTTTCTGCAGTTTAGTGGAGCAGTGCTGTAGCCTGGTGGTTGAAGCGTTGGCTCACTACGCCGAAGAACCAGGTTCGATTCCGGATTGAACCAACAGCCACAGATTGAACCAACAGCCTGTTGCTCTCAGGGCAGATTTTGTATCCACTAGACCACTGGTAGTTAACAATTGGTTGTATCATCCGTTTTCATTTTGTCAGTAACTATGGCATAACTAACAAAAACAAACAAATACTTACTTCAGCACTTTATTTAGCCCTTATCCTTACATTTCTCTCCTTGTGAAAGTAGCAAGTAGTAAGTAGTAAATAAAGCTCCTCAGGAAACAGAACTATCTCAGGGTTTCATATCATATTAAAACTAAATGTTACAAACCCTTCACCTTTGGCATTTTGTTCCCATAAAATTCACAAATCATATTAGAAGAAATCAGTTTGTACATACTCTTTCACTCACTCACTCTGGGGTTGACTGAAGGCCATGCTATTTTAACTTCTGAGAAAGTGGACAAGTCCATTTTGAACCTATTGTATTGAGCAATCTGTCCTCTTTGAAGGACGAGTGCTAACGCCAACTTGGGCCTAGCCTTTATAAGAGACAAATTTGAAATTCTGTGTTTCAAGTACATTATCCTACATATCAGCCATTGCTATTTCAAAATGAATAATAACATGAAATTTCAACCTAGCCAACAACATTGACATTGTTCAAATGTCATCATGTGGAAATTCTGGTAAATGTTCCACCTGTTTGAAACCTGAAATGTTTTACAGGTAGTCACATGGATTGATTTAAACCCCGAGCCAACAGAGCTACATGTGTGTTCATATATCACAGTTAATTTCACAAAATCAATTAGATTATTACTTCACTCAGGTATATGCAGGTATATACAAGACAGCCATCTAGAGTCATCAGAAACTTTTATTATGTACAAAACATATTAACATTAAACAACATCAGAGAAGCTTTCACTATTACATCATCAACAAAAACTTAACCATTACCAGACACACACCTTTCATTCATAGGTTTTGGGAATGGAGGGACAATATTAACCTTTGACCAACATATATGCAACAATAACAGTCTCTGTCTATTTGTAGTCCAACACCACCTTCTGCAACATTCCAGCTGTATTATGGTGGCTAGTAAATAATTGAGTCTGTACCAGACAAACCAATGATTGATATTATAAGTTGTGATCCATGCTGTTGGGGGCTACACTGACTTGCAACCAACAGAATACACAGCACTACCACCTAATCCACTAAATCACCTCATGTGACAAGCATAGGTTGTTTTGGACTAAGTGGGAATAGGAATCTCCTTAAGAGCATCGATAAGATGAAATGTACAACTGATGTGGGTGAAAGGAAAGATGAATTCTGGGTGATCTCATTTTTTCCGATGCAGCTGAGGTGCAGCAACCTTGACCTTGCCTGGCATATTGCGTGACTGGTCATCCTGTTTGAGAGAAACAAAACAGAAATAAGACCATTGGTCATATGGATGGATATGGAGTGATTGAGTTGTGTTTAACGTTGAATTCAATCAAACCAGTGTAATATGAGAGGCAACCTCCTTCACCGATCACAATTTTGGTAAAACAAACAGGCACAATCAAAGCATGGATCATTTATGGGACAAGTCAAGGCTTTCAGCCCCAAATAAGCAGATCCTGGTTCAACAATAGGATGAGTCTGAACAGCAAATTTGGAAAGTTGTGAACCACATGCTTTTATATATTTTATAACTGTTTTCTCTTACATCGTGATGGTCCAATACAAGCCACAAACCAAATAGTGCTGTTAAGATGTCATACAATATATCTTACCTTCAAAATCCTTAGCAAGTCTTTTTCTCTTGAAGTAGCAGATTTATCATGAAGGAAAACATTAAGAGCAGCTTTCACAGCTGAAATACAAATAGATATAGATTAATAAGTAATCACAATATCACAAAATATAACCAATATTCCAATGTCATTTTGTCAACTCCACTGATGACAATGATATATACTATGTACCATTGCTATAATGTTGACATATCTCAAACAAATTGTGCAATGTATGTAAGTGACTGCAACCTGAGTAGTTGAAAAACACAGTTAAGTGGAACTGGATGCTGGATTCACTGTATATGAATAATTTTCTTGAGATGTATCCTTATTTTCTTTATCCAAAATTTAAACACATCATGCTTGACAGAATTGATACTGCATCCATTAAACAGTAAATTTGTTTTCAACATGTACTTTGTTTGTTGTGTTGACACATATCATTTATAGGATCCCATGAGTTCTGTGTTCAGTCACATCATACAACATGTACTTTGTTTGTTGTGTTGACACATAACATTTATAGGATACCATGAGTTCTGTGTTCAGTCACATCATACATGTACTTTGTTTGTTGTGTTGACACATATCATTTATAGGATCCCATGAGTTCTGTGTTCAGTCACATCATACAACATGTACTTTGACACATAACATTTCAGTCACATCATATACATTTATAGGATCCCATGAGTTCTGTGTTCAGTACAACATGTACATACAACATGTACTTTGTTGTGTTGACACATATCATTTATAGGATCCCATGAGTTCTGTGTTCAGTCACATCATACAACATGTACTTTGTTTGTTGTGTCGACACATATCATTTATAGGATCCCATGAGTTCTGTGTTCAGTCACATCATACAACATGTACTTTGTTGTGTTGACACATATCATTTATAGGATCCCATGAGTTCTTCGTTCAGTCACATCATACAACATGTACTTTGTTTGTTGTGTTGACACATATCATTTATAGGATACCATGAGTTCTGTGTTCAGTAACATCATACATGTACTTTGTTTGTTGTGTCGACACATATCATTTATAGGATCCCATGAGTTCTTCGTTCAGTCACATCATACAACATGTACTTTGTTTGTTGTGTCGACACATATCATTTATAGGATCCCATGAGTTCTGTGTTCAGTCACATCATACAACATGTACCATGGGTGTTCTGATGTCAATACAATGCAGCCGTATAAGTCAACTTGTACATATTACCTTTTCCTCTCTTGGTGTTGCCAGGGAGGAGCTTTACTTTGTATCTGAAATACACCGAGAATGAGTTTTGTGCAGCCCACATGAACACTACTAAACATAAAAGAAAGCAGATGTACAGAGCACACACACAATACTTGTACTTAATGTGGGTGTTGTATAGGGTGCACATAGCTTACCAATAATCAGTGAGGAGTGTTGTATAGGGTGCACATAGTTTACCAATAATCGGTGAGGGTGTTGTACGGGGCAAATACAACTTACTTATAGTTGGTGAGGGTGTTGTATAGAGTTTAAATACAAGTGTTGTATACACATATAGTTCAGTGAGGGTGTTGTATAGAGCAAATACAACTTATTTATAGTTGGTGAGGGTGTTGTATAGAGCAAATACAACTTACTTATAGTTGGTGAGGGTGTTGTATAGAGTAAATACAACTTATTTATAGTTGGTGAGGGTGTTGTATAGAGCAAATACAACTTACTTATAGTTGGTGAGGGTGTTGTATGGGGCACAGACTGGAATAGCGTACAACAACTCATCCTCTGTGACAGGACACCCAGTGAGAGAGTTGAGGATCTTGATGTCCTGGAAACAATCGCTGGAGATTAGTCATGAAGGAGGAACAAACATTTATGAGGACTCCTCAAGTTCAATAGGCATTCATGGACTTTCAAGAGATTGTCATGAGAAAGCAGCTAATATGTGAGAGATGTGTCTTCCATGGAAAGTTGGCATCTGATATTAAAACATCTCACAGAAATCTTTCTGGATCACTTTTTTTCACTTTAACTGTGTTACTATACGTTACATTGACGTTTTCTATAAATGTCATTTCTCATTGTATGGCTGAAATATTGATGAAGCAACGTTAAATTTACTCAGTACTATGTTTTTGATTGTAAAATACCATTGCACATCTTTATTTACAGATCAGTTACAAGCATGGGCCATTAATTCACAATATTGCAGTGAATGACACCCACAACACCTTGCTTATTGTAACTGAAACATGTCAGTCTAAGTCAATTTAGACTCAGTATTATTTGTTTCCCTGCCATACTGAGTCTAACAAACTCTAGTAAAAGGTCGCGTCAGCTAACCTTTTGGACTGACCAATCAGAATACAGCTTACCAAATCACGAAAGTTAACATTTGCACGTATCGTTTGAACCTTTACCTAAAAAACTCGAATGATTTTGAATGCTATTTTCCGCACGATCGCTTCCAAGTGATACACATGGAGGACACAATGAGTAAACAGTTGCTGAACATAGCATTTTTGTCAATATTCAAGGATGTCATCTTGCTGAAATATAAGCTAATAGTAACCATGTCATTAGAAACCCCTAAGCGTCTATACAGCAGGTCAAATATCTGTGTTTTATGCAGATTTTCGTTTGTTGATAGATCAGTGTCAGCGACCAGGGAAGAGAAAATCCAAAAACCATTTCGTAAGTCCACCGAATCCTAACAAGTAGTTGTTGTCTGATTGGTTAAATCCGTTCAGCCGTCTCGCGTTTGATTGGACAGTCATAGGTCGCTCAAGGGTTAGCTGATGCGACCTTCTACTAGGGTTTGTTAGACTCAGTATAACAGTGTAACGAATAATACTGAGCCTATGTTTACTTAGACTGTGAAACATGTATGGCCGGTAAGAGTGAGTAAGTGAGGTTTTACCATGCGTTTGGCAAATGGGGGTCAAATACCTAGTGTGAATGATAACATGTAAGCAAATAGACTTCAAAACATATCTGGAGCCCTTACACCAACGTAAGTATGACTCAAAAGGTTCCTTCATTCCTCCAGTGGCCAGTGCCCTGGACAGTTGCAGCAACAATCACACATACCTCAGCCTGTTGTGCTGCTTCCTTCTCTTCATCAACATCATCATCCTGTAAATGGCATTAAACAATTTGGAAAATAAAATCAGAAAGTCATTGCTTAATTGAAGAAAGAAACAGTTTAAAAGTAATATTGTTATACTGCATATTTCTATGTGACACAAACGCCATGTGTCGTCTTTGGTGGAGTAAAACAAACACTGTGTATGGTTATGTTTACACATAGAGAAATCTATGATCCTTTGAACACTTACATCTACAGGTCTAGAAGTCGGTGTTTTCTGTGCTGTGGTTTTATCTAGAAGAAGAAAGTACATGCATCTATATACAAGGACATTCTACCAGATGTTTTAAGCTTTATAATACTGTGTCAAAACCTGTAATGACCTGGAACTTGTGGAGGAGAATATCTTGAAAACTTCAAATACAACAACTTTCAAAGACTGTGTCATGTTATATTTCTGTATCTATTTTTTGTCTTTATTTAAGATAATGAACCCTAACCACAACAAGGCCAAAAGAGAAAGTCCAGGAGTAAACAGTCTTATACCATTCAAAGTCAAACAACAAAAAATGCTTATAGCTTATTTAAACATCAACAGTCCTTTTAGATATGTGGAAAATTTAAATTTATTCAAAAGAATCATGACAGACCAGTAACCAAACAAAGATTTGTAAAGTTGTTTTAATCATGATAATAATAATTGTAAGACAAAACAATGTTGAAGTGAAAGCATGTCCTACCTTCCATTGACAACTCCCCTGTCTGCAGTGTGACCTTGTGGATGTCTGTGGGCTGACCTTTACCACTCTGAGGTCGTGACCCTGAAGGCTTCCCTCCCTTTAGCTGTTGCACGTCCTTGCCCTTTTTGCCTTTCTTTTTCTTGTCTTCTTTCTGAGATCCAGCAGACTAAAGGGACATATACACTTTAGCATATACACTAAAATGACACTGACACTGCAATATCATATCTAATACAATACTACCATACTTTTACGATAAGGTTAATCAACACAAACCTCATCTAAGCTGAGTTTGTGTCATAATCCTACCATGAGCAAAATTTCAGCGATATGAGAGGGGGCTGTAAGTGATCGTGTCTGGACAAGGCAAACCAATGTTCCAAGTCACAAAGCCTAGCCACTTGGTCTACTAAGATGCCTCTTACTACACATATAGGTCTATGGGGTCTACTCTTATGCCCAATTAGGCCTAAGCTAGATAGTGAAAAGAAAATACAGCATTAATCATGCATCGCCTCTATAATACAGGCCAGTAGTCTAATTAGACAGTTGTATATAATCAAAGGCTTTGTCTCCAGGAGAACATTGCACACAGCAATCTTCGTACTACCATAATCGCATACCCATGTCAAAGTATAGGAGTCTCAATCACCTTCGAGCTAAGATAGCTATGTGCAATGAGGCATGGGACTAATCAAAATTTTCACAAGACTACCAGTATTTACTGTAGGGTGTTGAATAAATGACACAGGGAGGACTGATGGAGACTCACAGCAAGAATTTCCATGCGTAATGATCTCTCTTCGTCGTCCTGATCCTTGTACTTCTCCTTCATCTTCCTCTGCTTCCCCTGTAACATGTGAGTGAGTGAGTTGACTCATTTTGGGAATATTGCAGCAATGTCTTCGTGAAGAACGCCAATAATACTGTACCCATGTGGGAATCAAACCTGGATCTTTAGTGTAACCAGCGAACACCACTTAACCAACCCATGTATATTTGTAAAATGTCATCCTTCCACCAACAGCAATTCCTCTGAATAACATAGTCCTATTGAAATCAAATAGATGGAAAACCGGAGGTTGACATCATGAACATCATCAATGTACAAAGACACACTGTGACCATATGATTCTTGTCTGACAGCTCATAACAACAAACATTTGTGTCCCGGAATCCCAACCCAATTCCATCAGAGAAGTGATTACAGCAAGAACCCCTCTGTGACCCAGCACGGACTATCTGGGAGACCACACACTCACCTTCTGGCCTCTCTTATGCTGTGTTTGGGGGTTGCTGCTCTGTGATGATGTTTCCTGTAATAGACAGACATGTACACTGATTAGCCCACATTAAGAGAAAACTAACATTCATTCTTCTTTTCTTATTGAAAACGAAAGTAATGAAGAACAATATTTAGATCTCTCCTGCCAAAGTTACCAACTTAACTTGTCCCTTTGAACAATTATCCTACCTTGGTGTCATCAGTGATATATGTGTGTGTGATAGTTATCAGCCTAGCTATGCTCTAAACATTCGTAGCGCTACAAACTTCTCAAGTCCATTCTTAACACATTGGCTACAATCAAAGTTAAGAATTCTTAGGGCTACGAACGTTTTGAGAATAAGGGCCCTGATCTGTTTGTCATTTGTGACAGTTCTTCTATCTGACTGTGTTATCTGACATTTGTTATACCTGTATGTCATGTGGAGAGTTGCATGTACCTGCATCTTATCTAACAGTTATCCAACCAGTGTCATCTCTGACAGTTATCCTATCTGTGTTTTTCTGTTATAGTTATCCTACCGGTGTTACCTGTGACTGTACTTGTATTATCTGTGGCAGTTATGATACCAGAGTGTTATCTGTGACAGGTATCCAACCTATAATGTCTTTGACAGTTATCCTACCTGTGTTACCTGTGACAGTTATGATACCAGAGGGTTATCTGTGACAGGTATCCTACCTGTAATATCTTCGACAGTTATCCTACCTATGTTACCTGTGACAGCTATAATACCAGAGTGTTATCTCTAACAGGTTGTTATCTGTGACAGTTATCCTACCTGTAATATCTTCGACAGTTATCCTACCTATGTTACCTGTGACAGCTATAATACCAGAGTGTTATCTGTGACGGGGTATCCAAATAATGTCTTTGACAGTTATCCTACCTGTGTTATGACTGTTATGATACCAGAGTGTTATCTGTGACAGGTATCCAACCCATGTCTTTGACAGTTATCCTACCTGTGTTACCTGTGACAGTTATGATACCAGAGTGTTATCTGTGACAGGTATCCAACCTATAATGTCTTTGACAGTTATCCTACCTATGTTACCTGTGACAGTTATGATACCAGAGGGTTATCTGTGACAGGTATCCTACCTGTAATATCTTCGACAGTTATCCTACCTATGTTACCTGTGACAGCTATAATACCAGAGTGTTATCTCTGACAGGTTGTTATCTGTGACAGTTATCCTACCTGTATTATCTGTGACAGTTATGATGCCAGAGTGTTATCTGTGACAGGTATCCTACCTGTAATATCTTCGACAGTTATCCTACCTATGTTACCTGTGACAGCTATAATACCAGAGTGTTATCTCCTGACGGGTTGTTATCTGTGACAGTTATCCTACCTGTATTATCTGTGACAGTTATGATACCAGAGTGTTATCTGTGACAGGTATCCTACCTGTAATATCTTCGACAGTTATCCTACCTATGTTACCTGTGACAGCTATAATACCAGAGTGTTATCTCTGACAGGTTGTTATCTGTGACAGTTATCCTACCTGTATTATCTGTGACAGTTATGATACCAGAGTGTTATCTGTGACAGGTATCCTACCTGTAATATCTTCGACAGTTATCCTACCTATGTTACCTGTGACAGCTATAATACCAGAGTGTTATCTCTGACAGGTTGTTATCTGTGACAGTTATCCTACCTGTATTATCTGTGACAGTTATGATACCAGAGTGTTATCTGTGACAGGTATCCTACCTGTAATATCTTCGACAGTTATCCTACCTATGTTACCTGTGACAGCTATAATACCAGAGTGTTATCTCTGACAGATTTATCTGTGACAGTTATCCTACCTATGTTACCTGTAACAGTTAAGTTCCCTGTGTGGTATCTCTGACAGGCCTACCTGAGTGTTATTTGAGACGGAATTCTGTGAGCTCTGTTGTGACTCCGAATGATCTTCCTCCGATTTCATCCATGAGACACCCTCCTCCTCCTCATCGTCATCTTTCTGGGTCTGTTGAGGCATCTTGCCTTTACGAGCCTTCCGCTGCTCTCTGTGTCACAAATGAAACAATTCATCTGAGATACTGTCTATTGTATACTATTACTATATCTATTGTCATTATTGGTGGTGTTAAACAGTATATGACTTAGCACTCAGCTCTATACTGTGATAAAAGGTACTATTTTCAAACCAATATTCTGTCACTTTAAATTCCATTTCCAAGAAGTTACTCTATTTATGATTCTAAGGCCGGCCTCTTCAAGTCATATAAGTGTGAACCATGTCAAGCTCACACCACACGTACGAAGCTGATAAATCCTTCAGCAATTTGACACAAGTAAGGAAGACATAACTTCATAGTTATACAACACAACATAACTAGAATGGGATTTATAGAGAATTCCAAACCATCTGACCTTAGGAGGCAGGCAATTTGGGAAAACAAATTGTCTGCTCAAATTGCCTCAAGAAGCTGTAATTATACAAACAAGAACTGGGAAAGCTGTGAATCTAATTTGGGAATTTTTATTGATATTCGAGAGCTGAATATTGGCCCTGGAGCAGGTCTAGATACATCCCTGAGTATGTAAATTAAATATGATTCCAAGAGTAATCTCACCTCCGTTGTTTGGCTGAAAACTTGGCACCAGTCTGTACTGTCTGCAGCAGAAATACATAAAAGTCTCAAAAACATGTTTCATACTAAAGTCACTCACTTTTACACCAACTTGATCACTATCATTTGAAACCCGTATTTTAAAATACTAATCATTTTGCAAACTCTTACCTTCTCCCCACGAACAACTGGTTGACTATCTCCAAGATACACAACATGACTGTCACTCTCTGATACACCACTTGCCGTGCTGGATGTACTCAAGCCTCGCTGTAGTTCATACCTGTGGATAGATAGACAGGCAAGTTATACCTGTGGAAAGATAAATAGTCAAGTCCTACTTGTGGATAGACACTCATGTCTTACCTGAGGACATACAGTCATGTCATACCCAAAGACTTACAGTCATACCTGAAGAGTCATGTCTTACCTGAGGACAGACAGTCATGTCATACCCTAGGACAGACAGACAGTCAGTCATACCTGAAGAGTCATGTCTTACCTGAGGACATGAAGACAGTCATGCCACCACACCTTGAGACAAAGAGAGAGAGTCATGTCATACCTGAGACAGAGTGTCATGACATACCTTGACACAGACAGTCATGTCATACCATGACACAGACAGTCATGTCATGACACACACAGACAGTCATGTCATACCTTGACACAGTCATGTCATACCTGAGACAGATATAGTGTCATGTCATACCTTGACACAGATAGACAGTCATGTCATACCTTGACACAGATAGACAGTCATGTCATACCTTGACACAGATAGACAGTCATTACATACCTTGACACAGATAGATAGTCATGTCATACCTTGACTAAGATAGAGAGTCATGTCATACCTTGACTAAGATAGAGAGTCATGTCATACCTTGACACAGATAGACAGTCATGTCATACCTTGACACAGATAGACAGTCATTACATACCTTGACACAGATAGACAGTCATTACATACCTTGACACAGATAGATAGTCATGTCATACCTTGACTAAGATAGAGAGTCATGTCATGCCTTCACACAGATGGTCATGTCATACCTGGACACAGATATATAGTCATGTCATACCTTGACAGACAGTCATGTCATACCTTGACACAGATAGACAGTCATGTCATCCTGTGGAGCAGATGGACAGTTACACATCTTGCTGTAACATACAACATGCAGTTTATATTTGAGATACATACTTGTCTCCCTTGACATGGAGTAAATTGATGGACGTATCTGGAAATGCTGATCCAGATTTCTCCTCTGTGTCTTCCTCTATCTTCTCCTCTATCTTCACCTCCACCTTCAACATGTCATCTTCCTTGTCATCTTCCCCTTGTTCCTCGTTTTCTTGGCCCTCTTCATTACTGTCCACAGTAGTCACTTCAACTCCCGTTTTCTCAGTTTCATCATCACTGTCACTATCATCGTCACTGATAATGGATTCGTCAGCTGTGACGTCCGTTGCAACAGAATCTGTCACTGACATCTCATCCTCCTCTAAGGTGCGCACTTTTCTCTCTCCAAGGTGGCGATCTACACTGTCCTCTTCCAGCTGTGTTCACAGAGGCATAAAACAACATTTTAGCACTTAGGGAGTGAGTACCTGTAACACTTAATAATATTCCAGCTATATCAATCTGGGCCAGGGTGAAGAAGAAAATTGACTGGCAGTAGCAGTGAGTGAGTTTAGTTTTACGCCACTTTTAGCAGTATTCCAGCAATATCACAGCAGGGGACACCAGAAATGGGCTTGTGGGGAATCAAACCAGGCTCCTCAGCATGACAAGCAGACGCTTTAACCATAAGTTACCCTACCGCTTGGCAGTAGCAGAGATGATCAATGATGTCAGAGCACACTGCCACATAACCAGTTAGATCATAGTTTAAGCAACTACACAATCACATGCATGCATGTCAGTGTAGAAGTGAAACAATCTTGAATGTTTGACAAACCCTATTTCACCCCACCTGATCCCAGTTACATGACTCTAATGGCAAGGAGTGATTGTTCAGCTTCATCATCACAGAACATGAACAAATAACTACACTGAGCTTTGATCAAACTGCATTTAACAGCATTTCACTCAAATCTAGATAAGAATGACAGTGACCACTTGAACAAATAACATGTGTTTGGTGCAGACAAACCAAGGATAATATTCTGGATGAATCTGGGACTCAAACCCTGCTGGACAAGCTGATACATTATGGCAAATGGACAATGTTATCAGCAAAATGTGTTGCCTTTGATCTGAGAGTCACCTGCTCCCCATAGAACAAGAGACTGTTTACAGAAACACTAAATTCATATGTCAGCATATGTATTAAACAAGTAACTATAATTAACAGAAATCTCACCTTAAAAAGGAAGCCAAATCCATATATCAGATACGATGGCGGCAAGTAGTTCTTCCTCCCTGTAAGATGATTCAGTCTTGGTTATTGACGTTACAAATGTCAGTTTCAATATATGACAGCAAGACATAGATAAAATGAAATTTTTAGAGTAAAATTAATATTTTTATACTTATCCTGACTCATGTTTATTTGCTTGTCTTCTTCTTCTGGCGAACCTAGTGGAACACATGTATCTCCCAATTGAAGCTCCCTTCAATAAAAAATCACTCATTAGTACTCACCCCGAGTTATCTCCCTTTCCGTAAGCGCGGGAAGGAGGGCGCCAACCAAGCCCATGTGCCTCACTCTCTCCTTTTTTGTTTTGAGCCCAACACTTTATTTTTCCCGAGAAATCCAAAGTGTTAAGTGGGGAAGGGCGGAGGGCTTACCTCATGAGTCAGGATAAGTATAAAAATATTAATTTTACTCTAAAAATTTCATATTTTTCTTATCCTGACTCATGTTTATTAACTTGTAGAATCCTACGGAATAGGAGGTGGGATTATATATACTTTGGATTTTACTAATTAGTGATTTGAACTGAAATGATTGTAATAACCCTAAGGGAACTTCATGAAGGCACTGAACTGAATTCCTGCTGTTAAATTAACAGCTGCCTTTAAATAGGTTATTACAATTTACTGAATAAAAGTATATAGAATATTAATTAAGCTAAAGCCATTAATGTGGTAGTATAAACTGTTGATAGTTTATAGTGAATACTTTTATAAGAACCAAAGTAGTAAAGCTTACAATATGCATATATATAAGCTATAACATAACTCTAAGCCTAAGGTATAATGATAACTTAAGCTGTATAATAGTAACCAACTACTGAGAGTTTGTTAACTAATACATGTTATGAAATGAACATATGATAGAGCTTAAAGATTAACAAGCTGAACATATATATAATAGTAAAACTTCGTAAGAGTTGTAAGTATATATATATATTATGATAAAGAATCATAGTACTGAGCTTAAGATAATATGTTAACTTAAGCAAATATATATATAGATAGCATACAGCTATTAATAGTGTTATCAGATAAGTATAAAATCAACCAAGATAGACTTATCTTCTCCGTGGAACTGTCAACTGTTGGCGAGGACCATGGGACCGAGAAATGGTGGATACCTGAGGCGTCCTTGGTGGTGATATCTCTCAGATAATGGTTTGCAAACACCATCTAGGACCTCCAAAAACATCCCTCCATAATGGTATTCAAGGAACAATTTCCATGTAAAGCCAAAGTTGAGGCTAGTGCTCTAATTTAGGTGGGGATTAGCAGCACTTGGAGGGTTCAGTCCAGCTGCCTTGTAGGCTTTTAGTATGACAGTTCTGATCCAAATAGAAATGGTAGTCTTAACACTTCTGTCTGTGGCGGTAGATATAGGGATAAACAATCTTTTGAATTTCCCTCTACTCTGCTTGGATCTTTGGAGATATATTTTCAGTGCGTCGCGGGGGCAAAGTGATAAGTCCATGTCGTATCCTGCGGTTGAAGTATGGATGAGAGAGCTGGGACATGGAACAACCTGTCTGGTTGACCTGGTAGTTGATTTTTAAGCTATAAAATCCCAGCGAAGTCCCAGATGGCGATGTTGTGAATATCATCAAATCGTGTTCTCTCATAGTCCAAAGCGTGAATTTCCGACATTCTGGCGGCAGTGGCTAACGCGCTAGCAGGAATAAGGTTTTGTGGGTCAATGATTCATATGGCCGCAGATAACAACGGTTTCGTAAGCCTCACTTGTGAGGTGTTGAAATATCACATTTAGATCCCAGGCTGGCTTGAAATTTCCGTTTCTGATCTTCCAATGGAAGGCGCGTAGCAAAGGCGAGTAACTCCGGTGTTCTGGTCAGTTTGGCCCGTTCTCATAGTAATGACTGAGCTTATGGCTGCAAGATAAGTGGATAGTGTAGATCCTTTGAGATTCTTAGTTTGGCGTAGGAAACATAAGAAATCTGCCACTTGAGGATGTGTAGCAAATCTGGCTGAAAATCCTTTCTTAGCGCATAATTGACAAATCTGAGCCATTTATCATCGTATAAATTACGAGTGGAGTTACGTAGTGCAAGCGTGACCGCCTTAGCGCTCTGTTGGAATAGCCTCTCTTATTCAAACACGCCTTGATACAATCCACACGTGAAGTCGGAATGCTTCTGGTGTTTTGTGCACTTGTTTGGTGTGTGGATGTATCAGTAGATTGGAGCGCAGTGGGAGCTGAAGTACTGGTTTTCGATTCTTCGTATGAGGTCTGGAAACCACGTTCGCTGGCCAGTAAGCGAGACCAAAATCAGATCGAGGCTCTTCGTTTGACTGATTTTTAGCAAGACTTGTGGGATCAGCGCAGGAGAAGGCGGAAAGCGTCTGCGTTTAGTCCCTCCGCGATATGCTTAGTCGTCATTTGCCCATGCTAGTGGGTCTGGTACTGGCGTCTGAAGGTTGTCAGTTGATTGTTGAATCGGGTGGCAAATAGATCTATCAGAGGAGATCCTATTTCCATGATTATCTGATTGAATATTTCTGTGTGGAGCATCCATTCTGTCGGCGATGGTTGGTGTGGCGAGAGGCGTCTGCTAACACATTCTTTGCTCCTGGAATGTGGCAGGCTTTGATCACGTATGTTTAGACTGTCGACTTAGATCGAACAGTTTGAAACATCAGAGTGAGTAGATTCAGTGATCTTGTTGACCCTTGTTTGTTCACATAAAGCGCCACTGTGGAGTTGTCTGTATGAATCATTAACTGGCGTTCTGTAATAGGTTGCTCCAGTGATTTATGGCGTTTATGGCTGCTTGCATCTCTAGCAGATTTATGTGACATAAGCTCTCTTGAATGCTCCATAGGCCTGGCTGTCCTGCGGAAAGGTGGGCTCCCCAACCTTTTAGTGGCGCATCCACGTAAAGATGTGTTTCGATTCGGCTCTAGTAAGGAGACGCCTGCGCAGACATTCAATCTCTTGGTCCACCAGAGTAGATGTGGTCTGGCGTAATCTGGTAGACTGAACGGTAGAGAGTCCTCGAGATGGGCATTGATGAGGACTTGTAATGGACGCAATTGGAGCCTGCCTCTGAGTGTCAAGTCTTGAGCCGATGTGAGTAGTCCCAGTAGACTCTGCCACTGTCGTAGTGGTAACGGAGAGAGTAGGGCTTGGGGGATCAGTTGTTGTATCTTGATCCATCTGTCCTCGGAACTATCATACGGTTCTGAGCTGTAAGGAATCATTATACCTAGAAACTGCAGATCTTGCGTGGGCTCTAGGTCCGACTTGAGTAGATTTACTAACCAGCCTAACTGCGTTAGTAGCTTGATTGTAAATTCAGCTGTAGTCTGAGGCGCTGTGGATGTGGATCCACCTGTATGCCGTCGTCTAGGTAAAATGCACTCCGCAGAGCCTTGGCGATGTAGATATGAGACCATAGGCTTGGTTATTCTTGTGAATATCCATGGGGGCGAAGTGATTCGAAGGAAGTACTTTCCATTGGTAGTGTATGCCGTCTAGCATGAATCTCAGATATTTCCTTGAACTGGGATGAATCGAATGTGTAGGTATGCATCCTGCAGATCTATACTTACCATGTAATCTAGTGGGCCAATTAGATGACGAAGTTGAGGTAAATGTATCATCGCGGCGGCTGGTGGTTTGCATAGAAATTCTCTGTTGAATATGCTCATGTTGTATATTAGGCGATACTTCTCTTTGGAATTCTTTTTCGGCACTAGGAAGACTGGGGAGTAGAAACCTGGTATGATGTTTTGCTGATCGAGAACTTCTAAGGCCTGTTTGTTTAGTAGAGACTGTACTGTTTCTCTTAACATGGGTAGTAATGCCAGTTGAACGTTGAACCCTGGTGGGTTGACTGTTAACGGTGGCTTGGCCTTGAGTTGTAGACGATATCCGTATCGAAGGATGTTGGATACGTACGGGTCTTGAAGTATCTCCCAGTTTTCCCAGTGAAGTTGTAGTCGTCCACCCACTTGAGACGGTTGTACTGGGACGACTGGGGGTGGAAGACTCCAGTCGTTCCGAACCTGACTTTCATCGCTTAAATCCACGTCCACCTCTGGATGATCTGCCTCTAGCTGATCCTCCTCTGAACTTGTTGTAGGGGCGACGAAAAGAATCCTTGGGATTATTAGCGGCCGCTAATTTCTTATCCCGTGCTCTCTGTAGCCCTGAGAATTTAGCCTTACCCGAGTACCTCTGTGCTGAATGTTTGAAGAGCGTTGGCTAGCATTATCCATAGATCTAATCATCAGTACTTCTCTAGAATCTTTAGATACTTCCTTGGAGACCTTGTTAATGTTGCCACCAAACAGTAAAGGTGAAGACCATGGAGCTGTGTACAGGGGCTCTGTGAATTGATTATTCCAAGAGCATGAGGCTAGTAATCCTTGCCGACGTGCCATGGTGGTAGTTTCAGTAAGAGCTGAAAGATGGTCTGTAAGGAATTGTTGATCTTTCTTCTGCATAAGTAGAGCTGAATAGATCATCCTGTCCTCCTCATCCGTAGAGTTCTTGAACTTGGTGATGAGAGTTTAGATTAATAGTCCTAGATCTATTAAGTCCGAAGAACATTCTTCTGGCAATGGTATCTAACTGGGCCATCTTACGATCGTCAATCCTATAACTTCTGGACTTGGAATCACTGATAATCTTGAAGTTTTCATCAATCTCTGAGTCTTGAAAAAAGGCTCCATATATGTCCATAAAATGCTTGGCATTGAAGATCGGTAAGTGAGGAAGATGGGATTTAGTAGATTTGGAGAAAGTTGTATCCAGTTTAGCAGGAGCGGCTGCGATAGGATCCACAGGAGGTATGGTGATATGATCTACGTCATCATCTTTCATCAGGTAAGTTTGGGCTGTATCCTCGTTCTTGGAGGAGAGGCCAGTTGTAATTCATTTACCATCAATACCTTATCTCAGCCTCTGAGAAAATAATACCATCGTCTTCCTCTGGCGGCATGGTCGTATGTCGGAGACCTCGATCTGTAAGAAGATCTATGTGAGGACTGAGGAGAAGCGGACTGACGAGTGGCTAGTGTATGCAGATCTTGGAGGCGACATCCGCCGGAGAGACTGTGGACTCTGTGACGTTGATGGCTTAGCCGGCGCTCTCTGGGCTTCTCGAAGCGTTGAGGGCTGCGCTGAAGCGTCTTGTAGGTGTTGTAGAACCACTTAGCCTTCGCGCTTCTTGCGAATGTCTGGAAGTCAGTGTCGCTCCGACATATGAGTGCTTGCTTTTGCGAGCGCCCTTCGTACATGACAAGGTGCGTGCTAGGCTTAAGTACTCCTTCTCCTCACGGGGCTCTTGCAAGGATCAGACTCTAGCTCCTTCCGAATGCCTGGGATACCTTGTGCAAAGAGTTCCTCTCGGGCAGGGTTGCCCCCTTGAGAAGCGGCGTCTATATGGCTCAGGGCCCCTACGCGAGAAGTCAAGGCGGGCTCTGGGGCCCTGTATGACTTAGTATGGGGTGGGCTCTGGGGCCCGTGGCTCTGAGGCCTCTGTAAGCGTGAGCGGTCTTCCATCATTCTCATAATGTGGTTGATCAAGTCATCTGGGGCGTTCTCGTTGATGGGGATGTTTCTCTGCAGAGGTGACCAGGACCCTCAGATAAACGTATTGGTGATAGCGTCGGCATCTCCAGTTGTGTGTTCATCTGCGCTGAGGTGATAGTCGAGAAGCGGGCGTTTCTTGTGGCGAACTTCTGGAATGATAATAGGCATATCATCATCATATAATGCTAATTCTGTAACTGGTAAGATATCAGAGGCAAATTTATTAGATTTAGTTGACTTCCCTTTAGATGGCGGTGTAGATCTTGGAGTCACGCAGAGATACGAGATGATATGGCTGGTTTCCTCGACTTGGACTGAGACGGCGGCAGCTCTTGAGATGCAGGTAAGCTTCTTGAACATAGCGGACTCGCGCCCCACGCTTATCCTCCCGAGGGAAACTCAGGCATGCCACCAACCGGTGACGAGTCCTCAGTCAACAGTTGACATGAAACATTAATTTGCGATGTATTAGCCATGTTTGAAATCCGTTTAGAGATTTATCTGCCTTCCGTCTGTAAACGAACATAAATATTTGTCAAAGGCAGAGATAGGTAAATTGCTACACAATTTACAACGAGAATCAAAGGAACATGGAGTAATGCAACTAGGGCATTTTAAATGAGGATCGGTATCAGAGTAGCGTAGTTTACAATCTGTGCAAATTTTCATTAATGTAGCCTACTGAACAATCAACGGCAAAGCGTGAATAAACAGCAGAAACACAATTAATAATCAATGCAAATTGAATAAATATACTAGCACTACCTCAATACTAGCGTATAAGAGGAACTAAACTAGATTTAAATAAAGGATATATGTGTTGGGAGACACAGGTGCTCTCACGTCCAGCTCACTGGGCGAAGAAGGAGAGAGTGAGGCACATGGGCTTGGGTGGCGCCCTCCTTCCCGCGCTTACGGAAAGGGAGATAACTCGGGGTGAGTACTAATGAGTGATTTTTTATTGAAGGGAGCTTCAATTGGGAGATACAAGTGTTCCACTAGGTTCGCCAGAAGAAGAAGACAAGCAAATAAACATGAGTCAGGATAAGAAAAAATTGTAATTCTCGGGCGATCAGGAGAGAGTGAGAAGCATGGGTGACAGGTGGCACCGTTTCCCGCCAGAATCCTGGGGAAGGGAGATGACTCCTGGTAAGTGATTTTACGTCCGCCTTTTTGAGGGGAGCTTCAAAAGGGGATTCAAGTGTTCCACTAGCATTCGAAGGAAAGGGAGACAAGCAATAAGCATGAGTCAGGATATGGAAAAATAGTATAAATCATTCAACAAACATTTTGTGTGTGTCTTTTAGCTGTAATGTCACCAATAGATATGATAGTCGTACCTCTGATCATGAAGCTACCAGTCGTCAGATACTCTCCAGAGGGTGCTGTCTTTGACACCTGATCGTGGTGGACGTACCACGCACTGGTCACAACCTTCGCATCCCATGCTGCACTATTGCATATGGCCATCGTTCCTGCTTCATTCAGAGTTTTGGGAGGCACTGGAATACCTGCAATAGAAGGGCATGTAGATGTTGACATGATGTTAAAGACAATAAAATACAGAGAGCATGTTATGTACCTACCTTTATACAGGTACAATAACACTCAACCAGCAAAGTCACACATTGTGACCATCTGATCCTCAATTTAGTCCACTCTACAACTAATACATAATGATGGTGGTTTCACTGAACCTGAGTATGATGAGGCTATTACAGAATAACACAAACGGCAGATTTAGAAGTCAATCTGACCCCTTCACAGCTGGTACAGGAACCATCAGAGTTCACAGTCAGTGAGAGAGTGAAATGGTTTACGCTGCAGTCAGTACAAGTGAGTGAGTTTGCTTTTACGCCGCATTTAGCAATTTTCCAGCAATATCACAGCGGGGGACACAAGAAATGGGCTCCACACATTGTACCCATGTGGGGAATCAAACCCGGGTGTTTGGCATGACAAGCAAACGCTCTAACCACTAGGCTACCCCACTGCCCTGTCAGTACAAGGAAACAGGATCTACTGCTACAGCACAAATCCCACCTGTCGGGTTCTTGATGATACAGCTGCTGGCACCGTGGAGATCAGCGTGGACGTATAGATCACCTGCAATGGTCACAGTGCTGTTAATGCCAACAACAGATAGTGGGTCTCAATAGAAACAGTATGAACATCGTAGCAGCTTCAAGATATATCACTTTTGAACTCATAAGGTATACACATATCCACTGACATCATCATGAAGGATCCTTCTCTTTGATCTTAATAATGATCTGTATCTACATCTTGTTATGTTAGAATAAAGTCCTTAAACAAGACAGAATATCAGTGACCAGACAAGCGGCATTAATGACTATCAGCCTCATTGACATATCATTCTGACCTTGCAGAACAAGGACCTCCATCTGAGGTATGTAAGTACTCACCTGGTCGGAGATATCTCTTAACTATCAGCTCATTCTGCTGCTGATCCCGGCCGCCAATCACCAGGTAGTTCTCGGAGCTGATGAACCACAGGAACTTCTCAAACCTGAAGAAAAAAGACGACATCAATGAACCTTTAAACCAAGACATGCTCTACCACAGCTAGATTGGTGCGGTAACGTGGTGGTTAAAGCATTCATTCGTCATGCCAAAGGCCTCAGCCTCTACGGATACTGCTGGAATATTGCTAAAAGCAGCATAAACCCCAACTCTTTCATTCACTCTGGCTCTGCTATAACAATTTACAATAGCATTTCCTCGTCAATATATACTGTTCAACATTTGTTAAGGAACACACCTTTGACTAATGACTATTTTGGTCCTCAGCAAATGTTGAGTAGTATGTGAAGTAACATGTTGTGAGATCATGTGAAGACTATGATTGCCTGACTAGCCATTGCTTTAACAACTAGCATACCCAACTGTCCATGACACTGACAACATGTATAGACAGGGCACTGTACCTGTAATTGTTGACCTAACTGTGATGACTGACACAAGCATCCTACATACCAGTAAGTTTTCCTTGTCTTGTTAATGGATGCAATAGTTGCTACTTCCTTCAGGGTCTGCTTTGTCTTCTTCTCTGCTGATTTGAAGGCCTGTAGACAGGGAACAACAAATTATCTCCCCTGGTCTCAGTAAAACCATCAACACAAGTTATCTTCAAGTAGTCATATGGTGAAGTTAATACATGAGATACATCAGAATAAGCATAGGTCTAATCAATAGCTTTTGCTTGATAATCGATGATATTTACTGTCAGATGAATTTGTAAACAGGATTCATATCTGGCGAAACAAACAACTTAAATGTCTTGTTAGAAGACTCCCATACCTTCTTGGATGCATCCATTGTTTTCTGCTCTTTCTTAGCTGCTTGTCTTTTCTTATCAAAGAATCTGAAAATCAAAACATGCACACTTGAAAAGACAAGTGCAAAGCTGATTCTTATCAGGCATTAACCCTGAAAGCACACAATATATATTTGTTCATTTCTTAATCATCAAAATGAAAAGACTGTCATAGGTGTATGTGAGTGTATGTAGGTGATGTAGGCAATATAGGCTACATATTCCAATCACTTCGGTGGGTAATGTAATAGGGAAGTAATAAGATCTGGCAATGTCCTGTTAATGTTATAATGAGGATAAAGACCACATAGTGGTTCTATTTCTAAATCTGTCAATGTATCTCCCACAGACTTTTCAGGTCTTCCCCACTTACTTCCTGGAGTTGGCATAGGCACTGAGTGACAGATCGATATCAATCCTCATCGGTTTAACAGGCTCATACTCCTCCTCCTCCTCATCTTCAATGTCTCCAACATAAGGATCTCTGGAACAGAGCTTCACAATGTAGATCTGTCTTGAAGGGATCATGATGAAACATAAATAACAGAGATGGGATGATTCCCCAATACCTTGAATCATTCTCAGACATTAAATGTCCATATTACTACTGGGTCATTGGCCAAAGAATGGCTGTTACTATTTACACAGTGCAGTACTTATGTGAACCAGTTCAGTGCATTGTGACAGGTGAGATGGGGGACACACAAGACACTTGTATTGTGATGCAGGCATGGTGACAGTTTATGCAACATCAGCCTCTGACAAAGTCGGGAGCTGGAAAGTTATATTTGGAGGCCCAAAAAGATCTAATTCTGTAACTAACCAACATTCTGTGTTGTCTTGAATGTCATTCATGTTAAGTCAGTGTAAAGAGGAGAATCTGACTGGGTGAGACAGCATTCAAGATGTAAACACGCTGCCACTGATATGGCAATGTCCCCCGCCGCTAAAGAATGGAATATCTATATTTACTACTTTTTATTTTTTGGTCACATACAAGATGCCTGAAATGACTGGTGTCTGCATAATCACCCAATGTAGGCTGTCAACATAATTGAAAACATTGGGTGCAATGTTTTATGAGATACCGTGCTACATAAGTTTGAAAAGCAGTCAAAGTGTCGTGGTGACCTTGAAAATAAGGTCAAGGTCACCCAAATAGACTGGTGTCTTGGTAGTCCCCCATTGTAGGCTGTCACCAAAATTTGAAGACATTGGGTACAACAGTTCATGAGATATCTCGTTAACAAGAGTTAGAAAAGTGGTCAAAGTGACCTTGAAAATAAGGTCAAGGTGCGGCAGGGGACAATAAGCTCTATTAAAATGTTCAGTACTTCCAGTCAATACCAAATGTGGAGAGTCAAATGTACATCTTTGGGTGTCATGCTCCTGCTTCTGGACTGAACAAAATGAGGATGTTTTTACATTTTAAGGCAACAGTATACATCAATGTGAACTCACTTGAGCAGGAGGGTGACATGATTAGTGTCCAGTTTGAGAGACTTGATGGCACCGGCCACTGGGTCACCGGTCAGCTGGGCTTCCTTCACCAGGTTCCATATCTCTGTCCAGTCAATCTGGTTGGCTAGTGCACTTCGGACAATCAGGATGGCCTGGTCAACCTACAGAAGGTACATCTTATGTCACAGTGTGGTCATGCCCTAAAGGGGTTTCATGTTGTATAGTCTATTGATCGTTGTTAATGCTACAGTCTGAAATATGTCTGTATGCATTATACCAGCCTGGAAAAAACATGTGTATTTAATTGTAGTTTTCACAAGGATATATATTTAAGCTAAGTTCTGGTGTCCTGTAAATAATCAAATCTGAACTAGGTAATAAATACTGTTATCGTCATTGTGTGAAACGACCATATGAACCAACACGCTCAGTCTGACTAACTCAACCACCACACCATTCAACTTTTGGTAAGGTTACTGACATGTTCATGCCTTTCTCGAATAGTAACATTCAAATAATACGTCTGGGTTTTGTTTTGTTTTGTTTTTACATTGATATACACACCCTACTTGACAATAATCCATCAACCTATATGTGACATTGGTGCATAACAAATGGAGTCTTGTCCAGACACTGATCATTGACCATATGCAACATCTCAACAGTGATGTTACCAGAGTCATTCTATCTTGGTGATCACCAATCCAAAAGCTATTTATATCAGTAGTCATTTGGACCAAACAAACAAGAATGACAAATTGGAGATACTCTTATTATTCTAAGTCAGGTGAAAAAATGAAGGTTCTTACCAGTTGTAGATTCATTTCAATTAGCTGTCCTTTCAGAATATCAACTTCCTGAAATGAGCAAAATGTTAAGATGGTTAAGACAAATTGAAGATCCCATAAAACTGAGTATAAAGAGAAAATGATGTCATGATAAAGAAAACCAGTAAATCAAGCGGCAAACCCAAACTGTGGCAATAAAAAGCAGCAAAAAATGGGGTCTAAAATCAGTAATCTTCATCAACCGACATTAGTAATCAGGATCAGAATGACCTACTGTTTTTCATGCAAATCGAGCAGTTTCACATTGCCTTTGATCAGAAAAGTACTCAAATCTGTAAAATCATGTGGTCAGTACAGTTTCTAGTGTTGTTTGTTTCTCTTGTAATGGTAGGATGTGGTTCAAAACATCAAAAATATTCCACTCCAATACTAACACTAGGCTTATAATACTACACTCTACTCACCTGCTCCTTCTGAAGTACATTCAGCCGTTTGTCATGGTCCTTCTTTACATTGTCAAGTTTCTTCAGAGCTGTCTTTTCCTGAATAAAACAGAAGTTCCACTCTAAATTCCATTCTATCATGAACACAAGTTTACCTGTGAGTGAATCCAAACAGCAGATCACTCACTTACATTATAAAGTCAATTTCATTCCTCTCGTTCTCGTCTTACAGAAGCTTAATTTTTGTCTGCTTTTATTATTCATACATTTCTGTTGTTAGCATTCTAGGTTGGTTGAGCAAACTTGTGGTTAATAGTAAGAGCAACACTCCACACCATAAGAGTAGAATGACTGACTGACTGACTGAGTTTGGTTTTACGCCGCTTTTAGCAATATTCCAGCAATATCACGGCGGGGGACACCAGAAATGGGCTTCACTCATTGTACCCATGTGGGGATTCGAACCCGGGTCTTCGGCGTGACGAGACAACGCTTTAACCACTAGACTACCCCCACCGCCCCAGAGTAGAATGACACCCACTCAGGTCACACATAGCAACCACTTAATACAGACTGATTTCATTATCAACGAGTTTGTAGCGAGTCCTCTTTTAATGATACAATAAGCATGTTTCCATTTTCTGTCAATTCAAACCCATTTTGTAGAAAAACTGAAACAGTGATAACTGATTCAGTATTATAACCTTCAAATGCTACTAGTCTAGGACTAGTCTGAGGACTACCATCACTGGAATCTAACTGACAAGTGTGAATTCCAGAAGCTGCACTATTGACAATAATCACATGACAAACATGAGGTAGATGACACAATGTCCTGTCTGTCATGTTCAATGACTAAAACGTAGATAGAACATCAACGATCTGTCATATGGCTAACCTACCTGTTGGAGTGTCACTGTCATATGGCTAACCTACCTGTTGGAGTGTCATCATATCAAGTCTCTGGCTCTCCAGCTGAGAGAAAAACTGATCAGCAGCCTGGTGGAAAGAGAAATATCAAAATATCAAAACACTTCTTAGAAAGGATCATAATACGTTACCTCTTGATTACACAATGGGTCCCGAAGAGAACAAATTGCTTACCCGGTCAAAAGAAGCAAATTCTAAGAAGGGCTTCTTCTCGTCCTGTCTGAGATGAAAAGGATGGAAAGCCTCATACCTGAAGTATAATCAGATATTGGGAGATATACACAAAATAGACACACCATTTATCATGTTCATATACACTACCAACATTAAACAAAGATAAATCATTTCCAATATGGACATAATTTATAAAGGCTTTCAACATTTGTTTAAGTATGAACTGTATTACTTACCAATTGACAAAATATTTAAGAGTTAATCAGGGTGTGGCAGAGTGAATGTTGTTTTATGCCAGTCATATCTATATCAGTCTGGCCTCTATATAATCAGATCTTGCCACACAAACGGAAGTGTTTTCAAAGTGAGAAACAACACACCCACTCATGACACAATGATAATCATTTCTTAAGTCAATGAGTATTCTAGTCCACAGTTCTTTCAGTTAAATCCCAAACAATGGAAGGACTTACGTGAGCAGTTCAGCATTTTCACCATCTTTGGGGTTGGGTTTCTTGTCAATCCTCTGGGTGATGTATCCCTGACAGATGAAACAAAATATGGGTAAAATTTAACAACACCAGTCCAACTGCATAACACTGTGAATAATTACTGTGTTCCCCCCACCCATCTTGTACTGTGGAGGTAATGGGGGTTATCCATTTTATACACATGTACTAGCAGGGGTAAAATTGATTTTGAACATGACATAACTTACATGTTTTTTTTCTTGGGGGGGTTTGGGGGTTTATTCGTATTGTACATGCTGCATCATCACCTCCTAGACATAAATTATGAACGATCACCTATTTGGTTGCCTCTTGTAACCGGCATGGCAAGACAGATTAATGATAGTTATATAATCACAAGGTACTTAACTTAATTTGAGTAACATCTGTCCAATGATCAACCTACCTTGCACTGTTCCTGCTGAAAGTTCTGCAGCATTTCCTCAGCCTCTTCTATAGCTGACAGCAGCTTGGGCATGTCTACAACAACACACATCACAAACATATCAGCACTTAAAATACCTTATAAAAAGTGTCAATGTACAGTCACTATCATGCCTGAAATAGCATGCTTTGATACCTTAAATACTTAAAATTCTTTAAATATCAGGACACAGCTCTAAGCCTGTTGCACACACTGATACATAAAGGAAACCTGGGTATTCAGGAAGTGAAAATATTATCTTTGCTTATAATCTAGCTCAAGGAGAAATGACATCTACCTAGCTCAAAGAATATAAGTACGACTCTCATCTGAACACCTCTGTGCCGTTTCATGGATATTTGACAAAGAACTCATCAATAATAATCAAGTGATGAGTAACTGAATTTACCTTTTGAGATGTCAAAGCCTTTACCAATCCTACAGTTCTCTGTGAAGCCAGCCCCCAATAGACAGTGATCCAGTACAGCTGGGCCATAGTCTGCAATATGTGACAAAATCACTGGCTGTTACATCTATCAACATCATCACTTCAGTTTCTCCCTGGCACAAAGAGTCACAAGGTTACTATGGTTACCACAAATTCCACATCAGGACTGATATAACACTTTATAGTTGTAAGGAATTCTGATATAGTGAACTCAAATATTTTATCTCACGCAAATTAGTACACTGAAGGGAAGTCAATGATTGGAAATATTAGAACCATTACATTGATGCAACAGCATCAAAATGTATCAATAGAATGATTAGTAACATGAATTCATTAACTTGTAAGTGTGCAGATAAAAATTACCTATGCCCTTCTGCTATCAATCAATGCAATGTTCAATATTATTAACAAGTGTTTGCCACTGATATGGCAATGTCCCCCGCCGCTAAAGAATGGAATATTTATAAACATTTACTACTTTTTATTTTTGGTCACATACAAGATGCTTGAAATGACTGATGTCTGCATAAACACCGAATGTAGGCTGTCGACATAACTGAAGGCATTGGGTGAATTTTTTTATGAGATAAAATGGTCAGTGTCGTGGTGACCTTGAAGATAAGGTCAAGGTCACCCAAATCAACTGGTGTCTGCCTAATCCCCCAATGTAGGCTGTCACCAAATTTGAAGACATTGGGTACAACAGTGCATGAGATATCACATTAACAACAGTTTGAAAAGTGTTCAAATTGTCTTGCGACCTTGAAAATAAGGTCAAGGTAACCAAAATTTAACCAAACCTGAAGAGGTTTTAAATTCTTCAAAGAGAGTCGTCCTTGGGGTACATATTATGCATTTTCCAAGCTGAAAATGTCCTGTGACAGTTGTATCAATGTTTTTTGAATAAAAAGATTGTACAATAAATAAACTCTTTTATTTATTATACGGCCCCCACCTCACGGAGTTACCTCCCGTTGAGCATGCGCACCAACTGGGTAAGCACCTAGGCCCGTATCATCATTCCTTCTGCTGAATACATCAGTGAACAGAATTGCGGGGAGGCGGGAGGCCCTACCCCAAGGGCGACTCTCTTGAAGAATTTAAAACCTCTTCAGGTTTGGTTAATTCTTCTTCATAGAGATCGTCCTTGGGGTACATATTATGCATAAACACAGACTCCCAAAGACCGGAGGCCAGGGAGGAGGAATTCTGTCCAAGCACACACAAATAGCTATCGTTAATGGGAAAAAATTGAACAGACGCCATAACACTCACCTGTCACATGTCCCAGTTTCGCTTCCGCGAGAGGCATTATGGGAGGGGAACTGACAGGGAGGATTTGTGCTCAAAGACGACCTCCATATGTTAGCATAGGCAATGCAGCACATGTAGTGCGAATGTCAACAAAGCCCCACCCACCGCGTGTCGATTAGTGAGCACCGTAGGGGGAATGTCAAAACCGCTCACTGTCGACCTATTACTCCGTAGAGAGACGAAATGTGGGTAGTTAGCTCCCAGTAGCAGACATGTCAATAACACACAGTATTGTACAGTAGCGTCAAACAAAACCAATGAACCAAGACTCACTTGGTCAGGGTGGCAGGACACTGTCCACTGGAGAGAACAGAGCGGCCAAAGCTTCGCCGCGATTCACGGGAATGCGTATCGAGCTGATAATGCCGAATAAACGTGCTAGGCCGGCTCCAAATAGCGGCAGAGCAGATCTCTTCAATGGGGAGTGCCGATGCAAAAGCTTTTGATGCGGCTACTGCCCTGACCGAGTGAGCCTTCAACCCCTCAGGGGAGGCTTGCCCTTAGCCTGATAAAGCGGCACAAATATACGAAACTAGCCAGCGAGACAAAGTCTGCTTGCTCGCGCTGGCACACCAGCCTTCCCGCCACCGTAACAACAGAACAGCTGGGTACCCGTGCGGAGTTCCCTGCGTTAGTTTGATATAGACTTTGAGGGTCTTCACGGACATCCAGCGGGTGAGTGCTCGTTGCAGAGGTCCCGATGTGGAAGGCTGGGTAAGAGTGGGAAGTTCGATAGGAGCTGTCACATGGAAGCGTGATCGACCTTCGGGCGATGCGTATCCGGGGGCGAATACTGACCACGATCAGTGTGAAACACAGTCAGCGCCCGGGTCGGACGACATAGCATGTAAATCGCCGACCCTACGCCCAGGCGTTACCGCCACCAGAAAAACAGCCTTCCAAGTTAACAACTGAATGGAAATAGCCGATAGGTGTGAGAAAGTTGGACGGACAGCCAATCGAGCACAATTGACAAATCCCAAGGTGGGCTGGTTAAGCCTGACAGCAGGTCGAACCGTTCAGCGCCAGCGGCTATGCGAGAGGGTGCTGCCCCAGAAGAGCACCATCGACAGGGGTGTGAAAAGTGGAAATAGCGGTGGAGTAGCCGCGAATGGTCGAAGCCGCCAGGCCTTCTTCCAAAGCGGGCTTGCAAAACTCCAATACTCGGACTAAATCCGCAGAAAAGGGATCTGCAATCCCCTATCTGAACACCAGCGCGCATAAGCGGGACCACCTATCCTCATACTGAGCGTTTGCCGAATCCTTACCGAAGCCAGAATTGTGTCTGCAACTGCTGCAGGAATTCAGCGTGCCTCGAGGCTAGACCTGACAGAGGCCAAGCCACCCACTGAATCCGTGGATTTGGGTGGAAGCTCCGTTCTGAGTGAGAATGTCGGTCGTAAAGGTAATAGAACAGGAGGCTGAGCCAGAAACCTGAGAATTACGGAAACCAGCTCTGTGACGGCCAAAGCGGTGCCAGTAGCACAAGCAGCCGAGCTGGCTGGGTGGACAGCTGTGAAAGGACACGGGGAATGAGTGGTAACAGCGGGAGCGCCCAGAGCACTTTGCCCGTCCAATCCAGCAGGAAGGCGTCGGCAGCCAGCGCCCTGGGTCGGTATTCGAGAGCAGAACACGGGTGTCTGATTCGTCCCGCCGGACGCAAACAGATCCACCTGGAACGACCCGTACAACTGGGAGATAACTCTGAAAATCTGCCTGTCGAGCATCCACTCGTGCGGGGCCAGGATCCGGCGAGAAGCGGCGTCTGCTGCGCCGCGTTCTCCAGCCCGGGGAGATAAACAGGGAGTACCTGACAATGCGCGCACTGGTCGCACCAGAGGAGAAAGTCCCGCCTCCCGGAGGGCGCTGGGGACACCGTGCCGCCTTGCTTCAGGATGTATGCGACATGGCCGTCTGGTTGTCCAACTGAAGGCGGACTACCTGGCCCTGGACATGCTCTCTGAAGCGCTTCGAAAACCAACCGCACAGCTCTCAGTTCCAACACGTTGATGTGAAGGTGGGCTTCAGCGGCCGGACCAGAGTCCGGACACCGACAGACTGCCCAGAACACCCCCCCAGCCCGTGAGGGACGCATCGGTCTGAACTGTGAGAGCTGGCGTCGGGATTTCCAAGGGGACCCCCCTGGTGAGATTCCCGACATTGGTCCACCACTGAAGGTGAGGTGTCAACCACCCGGGGACTGTGAGACTGCGCTCCAGGTCCTCCGAGTGAGCCCACAGACTCGCCAAAGCTTGCTGTATAGGGCGCATCCTCAACCGCGCCCGCCACACTACAGAGATCGTCGCCGCCATATGGCCCAGTAGACGGAGCCAAGTCCGTGCTGGTGCCTGGGGCTGGGAGAGGAACGAAGACACCATCTCCCGAACTCTGGTGATCCGGTCGGGCGACAAGGAAACTAGATCCTTGTGCGTTTGGAACCTCGCCCCAAGAAAAACCAAGTCCTGGGTGGGTACCAGGTCGGATTTCTTGAGGTTGATGATCCACCCCAGTCGAACTAGAATGTCTATCACTGTGTGAGTAGCATCTAGGCTCGCTGGCTGTGTTAGTGCTCCGAGCAACCAGTCGTCGAGGTAAGGGTAACAACGCCTTCCTTGCGAGCGAGCGGCGAGGGTAGCCGGGACTAACATGAGCTTGGTGAACACCCTTGGGGCAGTCGATATGCCGAAGGGGAGCACCTTGAATTGGTAACACATCCCGTCGTAAGAGAACCGAAGGTACTGCTTGAACGATGGATGTATGGGCACATGCGAATCGCATCCTTTAGGTTGATTGGCGTGAGCCAATCGCCGGGCTGAACAGATGAGATCACCGGCGCAGTGTCTCCATCTTGAAGGATGGTACCGAGAGCATGCGGTTCAACCCCTTGAGGTTGAGAATGGGGCCGGAACCCGCCGTCTTTCTTCGGAGACGAGGAAGTACGTGGAGTAAAATCCGCCTGTTCCTCTCCGGTGGAATCGCTCGATTGCGGACTTGTCCAGCAGAGCCTGAACCGTCGGCGCAATATGTCGCCCTTGCCTGACATGGCGGCACGAGTCGCGGCGTATGCGGTGAAGTCGGGCGGACCTCGCTTCCACAGTGGTAAATGGCCTACACTGATGGTGGACAGCACCCAAGTGTTTTGTGTAGCCTTCTCCCATTCCGGCAGGAATAGAGAGAGGCGGCCTCCCACTGGGACGTCGGGTAAGAGCGTGCGTCGTCCCAAGTAGCGGAGCTGACTGGGCGTGACACACGGCTTGAACGACAGCCTGATGGGTTAACGGGAGGTCGGGGCAGACCTCCCGGCGCCCGAAAAGGCTGGGAGCTAGTCGAGGACTGCTCCTTGCCCTTACCCTTGGCGGACCTGTGCCTCCGCTTACCCCTGCCAAGCGGCCGAAGCCAGCCAGCGGACTCGGGTATAGGCTGCACTCCAGCGGAGGAAGGTGGAACGGGAGCGCGGGGGCGAGACACCCGCGGGTGCTCCAACAAGGCCTTAGAGACCTTGAAGGAGGTAGCTGCAGCGGCAGCCTCCCGTATGACCTGCTGTGCCCCTGGAAAGAGGGTCGCTCCCAGACGGAAGGGGAGGGCCAGCAAGGTCTGCTGTGTCGCTGCCGAGTAACGAGACGTCGACAGCCACAGCTTGCGCATCCCCATGACTGCGCACATCACCGTCGACGCAGCGGACCGCAAAGAGTCGCGAGCGAGGTGGGCCTGCACTTCAGACAACTGACGGAGTAGCACGACATGCGGTGAAACGTCACCAGCATGCCCCTCCGCTTCCAGGGCCGACCTCTGAATCGAGGTGAGGTAGGCCTCATGGACCACCACCCTGACCTGCTGCATAGCGTTCCTGTAAACCTCCTCGTAGGTACGGTACGCATGCGCAGGGGGGCGCCCGCGAGGGCAAACGGTGGAGTCACACGCCCTTGCCGAGCAGCCGGAGCTGCTCCGGAGGAAGCCGAGCCTCCCCCCAAGGCGACTGAAGTGAAAACACACTCATCCACGATAGGTACCACGAACAGGGAATCCTCCCCAAGCTGGTATCTCCGGACAAGCTCCGGCAAGTCAAAACGGAGGCGAGAACCAGACAAGAGGGGATCGACCACGTCCTGGACTAACGATGGAAGAATGCGGAGCTGCGTCTGCGTAGGCTGCCTAGGGGCAAACGCCTCGCCTGGCAAGCGGAACTCAGCCGAGTCCGAGCTGCTAACAGGCACCGCGGCCTGGGGTAGGTACTCGGCAATCACTTTGCCTGACCTCCCGCAGAGCCGAGAGAAACAGGAAGGCACCCTCCTGCTCCTCGACCTCCCCAGTATCCATCGACTTCGGCGCCCGAGCCCAAGTCTGAGGCTGGGTCTCCTCGCGAAGAGGACCCGAACCCCGACCCGGTGGGCGGCCTAGCACTAGGAACAACAGAGAGGGATGAGCAGACAGAGTGCCCCGCGTCAGTGCCTGCAGGCGTGCACGGACCCCGGTCCCGAGACGCTGGAGGCATACCAGGCAGAACTGGTGCCTCCGCTCTCATGGGGCGGGAGGGCGCAGGGATCGGAACCCCAGGAATCATCCACAGTCCCTGCGCCAACTCCGAGAGGGGGACTGGGAGCACCTCCCTCTCCGGGGCAGCCGAGGCGTCCGGACCCGAAGCCAGAGGCAACGGGTCGACAGACGCCTCAAGGCCTAGGGATCGAGCCGGGCTCGGCGATCCCCCCCCAAGACTCTCCGCCCCACGCTCAGAGTGGGCGAGGAACTCCTGCCGGAGTCCTCCAACCGACTCATGAACGAGGGACCTCATCGAGTCTGCGTGCTGCTGAAACATCTGTGTGATTAAAGTCATGTCAAAACCGCTACCAGGAGCGGGAGCAGGGGACTGGCTACGGGATTTTTTCCCTTTAGACTTTTTAGCCTTAGACGGGGGGACCTGGGTAAGTTCCCCTCCCGCCTCCCGCATCTCTCTATAAAAGAGAGTATCGGCAGCCCTCCGCTTCTGAGCCCGGGGGGAAAACCCCATACAAATTTCACAGGTTTCGGCCTCATGGCCGGTCTTCTCTAGGCAGACAATACATTTGTCGTGCGTGCCTGTCGACCCGATGGAATACTTTGTCCACAGACCGAACAGGAGGAAAACGCCTGGAAGCAAACACGCAAGCATGTAGCTAACGGCGGACCAGCAGCATATATACACGTAGAAAACATTGAAAAATACGTGAAGGCTACCACGGGAAGAAATAGTTGGTTCAATACGCAATATTACAACCACGTGGCACGCTAAACTTCCCGCCATGGCAGAGCAACATGTGCGTAAACCACGGGAAAGTTAGCGTAAAATAATTAATACAAAGTCACAATTATGAAACAACCGACCGCAAAGCTTTACTGTTCCTTTTGCAAAGGTAATAAGACCATACATACAGGTGGTGTTCCAGACATTATTCTTTTTCGTTCTGGAAGGGTCAGCTCTGCTCGACACATGCGTCTGTTAGGGGCAGTGACAGCAGAAGGAATGATGATACGGGCCTAGGTGCTTACCCAGTTGGTGCGCCTGCGCAATGGGAGGTAACTCCGTGAGATGGGGGCCGTATAATAAATAAAAGAGTTTATTTATTGTACAATCTTTTTATTCAAAAACCATTGATACAACTGTCACAGGACATTTTCAGCTTGGAATGCATAATATGTACCCCAAGGACGATCTCTATGAAGAAGAATGACTGTTGTCTGGGTAATCCCCCCAACGTAGGCTGTCACCAAACTTGAAGACATTGGGTACAACAGTTCATGAGATATCGTGTTAACAAGAAACGGATGCCGCTGAAAACATTGTGTTCCCCTTCCCACCCAAGAAAACACCCCATCCCACCCCCCATTCCGGCGGGGAACAACAAGGCTGATGTTTAAAACTGAAATTCTTGCCGTCTCTTTTTCCCGTATTAACCAAGGTAATCTTAAGAAATGTACCCAAGTCTGTAAAAATGCAGTTTTAATTTTACACTGAAATTCATAAGCTTGTCTCGATGCAGCAAGAACATGAAAAGTTTCCTGTTGCATTGACACTACAATACAAAGGCATTCCTAGTACTACAGATCTATTTTGCCCCCTAACTGGGTGATAATGATAAACATTACCTAAATTTGGAACCAGCAACTTCTTCAGAGGGTCTCCATCTTTCCCTTTTGACATTATTTCTGTCAACCTGGAAAACACATCACATTGACTTCTGTGACAAACACCTTCCAGGATGGAACGCTCATCCAGAACTGACTAGGTCATCAATAGTAAAACAAGACATGAAAGTCCATTGGACCAAAGCTACAAATTACGAGTCAGCATGCTCACGTGCCTGGTGGAGGTGGTAGTAGATATAGCTGTCGTCATTATAATAGTACATTCTAAGTAAACTTAGGCTCAGTATTATTCGTTACACTGCTATACTGAGTCTAACAAAACCTTATAGAAGGTCACGTCAGCTAACCTTTTGGACTGACCAATCAACACACAGCTTACCAAATCGCGAAAGTTAACATTCGCACATACCGTTTGAACCTTTACCTCCAAAACCTGAACGATTCTGAATGCTATTTTCCACACGATCGCTTCCGAGTGATACACGCAATGAGTAAACAGTTGCTGAAAATAGCGTCAATATTCAAGGATGCCATCTTGCAAAAATATGTAATTTTTGGAGTAAAATTGATATTTTATACTTATCCTGACTCATGCTCTTTTGCTTGTCTTCTTCTTCTTGCGAACATAGTGGAACACTTGTATCTCCTTATTTGAAGCTCCCTTCAAAATAAAATCACTAACTGGTACTCACCACGAGTTGCTTCCCTTTGTCTCCCCTGGCGGGAAAAGGTGTCGCCACCTTCTGCCCATGTGCTTCACTCTCTCCTGATTTTGTGAGCCCAACACTTGGACTTACAGGGAAATCCAAAGTGTTATGTGGGGAGGATGGGAGGGCTAACCTCATGAGTCAGGATAAGTATAAAATATCAATTTTACTCCAAAAATTACATATTTTTCCTTATCCTGACTCATGCTCTTTTGCTTGTAGAATCCTACGGAAACGGAGGTGGGAGTAACAGAATACTTTGGATTTATAATTAGTGATTTTGTATAGATATACTGTAATATCCCTCACGGGGAACTTCATGAAGGCTTAGATTTAGGATGTTTCCTGTATAAAAACCATAGGTTATATAAAGCCATTAAAGGGGAATTACATTATGAATATATTGAACAATACATATAATATATATATATATATAGGTGACTCTGATAGAGGCACTGAAATTGAATATATCAAAAGTATATGCTTAAAGTTGAATAACTTAAGCTGAACATATATACATAGCCCTAAAACTCCGTAGAGTTATAAGCTAGATAAGTATGTATAAAATACATATTAATCTTGTGAGGATAATATTTAACGCCTACGAGGGACTGTCAGTTGCTGAGCGAGGACCAGTGGTCCGAAATGGTGAATGCCAGAGACATCTTCTGTAGTGATGTCTCTCAGGTAGTGATTAGCAAATACCATGTTAGATTTCCAATAGCATCCTTCCATAATCGTGTTCAAGGAACAGTTACCGTGTAGGGCGAGGGTGGAGGCCAGTGCCCTGATCTCATGTGGATTTGATGCTGTTGGTGGGTCCAAGCCTGCTGCCTTGTAGGCACGGAGAATGACAGTCCTTATCCAAATAGATATTGTGGTCCGTGACACTTCTGTTTGATTCGTAGGCGATAAGGGGATGAATAAACGTTTGAGAAAACTTCTCCTTGTTTTGGATCGTCGTAAATAAACTTTGAGCGCTCTTACTGGACACAGTGATAGGTCTTGTGTATCTTGTGATCCGAGAATAGAGGATAGCGCCGGGATGTGGAATAATCTGTCTGGTTGACCTGGCAGTTGATTTTTAGCGATGAAATCCCATCTTAATCCGAGGTGCGCTGTGTTATGATTGTCATCAAACTGTATCCTCTCGTAATCCAGAGCGTGAATTTCAGACATTCTTGCTGCCGTGGCTAGAGATAGCAGAAACAGTGTTTTCTGTGAGAGAAATTCAAAAGTTGTTGATTCCAAAGGTTCATAGACCTCACTCGTGAGGTGTTGTAACACTACATTCAGATCCCAAGCTGGAAGTGGAACTTCCGCTTTTGGTCCTCAATCGGAATGCTCGTAGTAAGGCCAGTAACTCTGGAGATCTTGTTAATTTGACACCCGTTCTCATGGTGATTACAGAACTAAGCGCGGCAAGATATGTTCATATCGTTGAACCTTTTAAATGTTTGTTTTGGCGCAGGTAACACAAATAGTCTGCCACTTGAGGTTGTGAAGCCTCTCTTGCTGTAAAACCTTTCTTTGCTGCATAATTTTCGAAACTGTGCCACTTGTCGTCGTCATACAAGTTACGAGTTGAGTAACGTAAGGCAAGCGTGACTGCTTTTGCCGCCCTGGCAGAATATCCTCTCTTGTTTAAACACATTTGTATACAGTCCATACGTGTAGTTGGAACATTGCTGGGTTTCCGTGCACTTGTTTGGTGTGAGGATGAATTAACAGGTTTGCGCGCTTGGGTAGCTCCAGTGCTGGTTGACCGATTTCTTGAATTAGTGTGGGAAACCACGTTCTGGCCGGCCAGTAGGGCGCGACCAAAGTGAGTTGTAGGCTCTGTGTTTGTCTGATTTTCTGTAATACTTGAGGTATTATTGCTGGCGGCGGAAACGTGCACGCATTGAGGCCTTCCATGATAGACTTAGAGCGTCCGTTGCCCAAGCTTGGGGTCTGGGACTGGTGACACAAATGTCGGTAGCTGATTGTTGAATCGCGTGGCGAATAGGTCTATTAGCGGCGCTCCTAATTGCTTGATTATCTGTGCAAATATTTCCCTGTTGATCATCCACTCTGTTGGTGATGGTAGATGAGGCCGAGAGAGAGCGTCTGCTAGTATATTTCTGGCTCCGGGAATGTGCACTGCTCTGACATGTAGATTTAGATCTTGTATTAAATCGAACAGTTGAAAGCTTAGGTTCAAAAGGTTCATCGATCTCGTTGAGCCTTGCTTGTTTATGTAGAAACGCCACTGTCGAATTGTCTGTATGGATCATTAGATGCGCATTTTGTAGAAATGTGCTCCAATGTAGAATGGCGTTGATTACAGCTTTCATTTCTAGACTGTTTATATGGAGTTTGCATTCTTGCTGATTCCATAATCCTGATATCGTGTGGTTGGTGAGATGAGCTCCCCAACCTTGGAGTGACGCAGCGTCTACATACAGATGGGTTTTGTATTCCTGCTCTGCTAAACAAATCCCGCCATGAGACATTCGATTTCTTGGTCCACCATAGTAGATGAGGTCTGAGATGTTTGGTAGACTGAATGGTTGTACATCGTTGAGATGTGCGTTGATGAGGACCTGTAGGGGACGTAACTGTAATCTGCCTGTGACAGTCATGTCTTGGGCTGATGTGAGAAGACCTAGTAGGCTCTGCCATTGTCGAAGTGGTAACGGAGAGAGTAGAGCTGGTGGAATGGTCTGTTGTATCTTGAGCCAACGGTCTTCTGGTACCATAATACGGTTGCGATTTGTGATGAATCGAATACCTAGGAACTGCAGGTCTTGCGATGGTACTAGGTCCGACTTGCGTAAGTTTACTAACCAACCTAGTTGTGTTAGTAGCTTTATGATGTAATTTAACTGTAGTTTGAGACGCTGTGGATCTTGATCTACTTGTATCCCGTCGTTGAGGTAAAACGCACTGCGTAGCCCTTGACGATGTAGAAATATGATAATCGGTTTCGTTATCCTCGTGAAAAGCCAGGGGGCTGATGATATTCCGAATGGGAGTACTTTCCACTGGTAATGTAGCCCTTCTAGAGTAAATCGTAGGTATTTCCTGGAATCGGGATGAATGGGGATGTGCAGGTAGGCATCCTGTAGATCTATGCTGCCCATGTAGTCCATAGGACGAATCATCTGGCGTAACTGAGGTAAATGTATCATGCTAAACCCGGTGGTTTCGTGAGATAATTCTTGTTGAAAAAGCTCATGTTGTAGATGAGTCTGTATTTCTCCGTGGAGTTTTCTTGGGAACTAGGAAAACTGGGGAGTAGAAACCTGGTTCGACGTTTGCTTGATCTATTACTTCTATGGCCTGTTTGGATAGGAGTGATGAAACAGCCTCTCTTATCTTTGGTAGTTGTTAAGCGTAAATCGAACTTGGGGGTTTGATTGTCAGCGGAGGCTTGGCCTGTAGTGGGGATCTGAAATCCGTGTTGAAGAATGTTGGAGGCGTAAGGGTCTTGCAATATTCCCCAGTTTTCCCAGTGTAGTTGGAGGCGTCCACCCACTTGTGCTGGCTGTACTGGAACGGCTGGGGTGGAAGACTTCAGTCGTTCGAACCTGTGTTTCAGCGTCTATAGTTGCGGGAACCTCTGGGTGTCCTGCCTCTTCCTGATCCTCCTCTATAGTTGCCATATGGGCGACTTTGAAAAAGAATCTTTACCTCGAAATTTATACAAACCTGTAGAGGTTATGAATTCTTTGAAGAAAGTCCTCCTTGGGGTACATATAAGCATTAAAATGTCCATTTTAAATCCTCGACAGTTGTAACTATATTTTTAATAAAATATTTACAAAACAAAACTTCGTTTTGTCTTGTGAGACCACCCTACAGGGCCCCCACGGACCAACACAGCCAAGAGCAGGTAACTCTCGCCGTCTACCTCGTACCTCACTTTTCATGCTGAGCGTGTCAGACAGAATGAGGGGAGGGTGGCGTACCCAAGGAGGACTTTCTTCAAAGAATTCATAACCTCTACAGGTTTGTATAATTCTTTTCAGAAGAAGTCCTCCTTGGGGTACATATAAGCATATGACAGACTCCCAAAGATATTTGAGGCGGGGTGGCATTCTGTCTGGCAACAACTAAACCCGTGGTGGAGTGAAATCTACAACCCGATCTGGGAATAGAAAACACCGAGCCACCTGACGCTGATGTCAATCAGGCGGTGAGAACTAGAGAGCCCAAGCTTATATGTCAATTGGCTCAATATCAATGACATAAAACCCGCCCCAACCATTACAATGGAAGGAATGTATGGGGACATGTCGAAACAACTCCCAACCCTAATATAGCCCCAGCCAGACAATCGTGGCGAGAGGTATAAGGGTAGGGAAAGCGTAAAAAAT